TCTGGAATAAAGCAGAATGGCACTGTAGTTACTGGCTACTGAATAATTCATGTGAGGTAAGCACCAAGACAAGCTCGACAAGTATCTCTTGATATAAATACTTCTGTCCACACTAGTATATTTCCTACTGCAAATAGTCCAAAAACATGTTTAAAGCAGAAACTTGGTAATAATGAAGATAGCTAGCTAGTGGCTAGCTAATGGAAGAATTTGGAAGACAACAAGGTTCATCCACCTTGATATGAAAGATCGTGTTAACGTTGTAAAGACACAAATAACTCAATGACAGAAATCACAACAAAATTCTTTAACCATTACTGATGCAATGACGAACATAAAACCATTACAATTAGGAAGACCTGGTTAGCTATAATTAAAAGAGGAAATGGAGCATCAAGCATCGTGTAACTAGAAGAAAGTCATTACATACATTAGAGCTGATTACCACGTACATATTTGTTCTTGTTCTTAATGTTGCCATGATGTCCTTTAAGTTTTGAGTGAATTTATTCAAGCAAATTCCGTTTGCTGTGCTTTATTATTCAACTAGAAGGAGTAATACCTAGAAAAGTAAACGTGTTGAATGTTATATTCCGATCGATGTCATCGATGGCGTCCTGTTGGCTATTGAACTAAGCTGCTCACTAATTATGAACTCAAGTTCTACATCACAAACGCATGGGAACGAAACAGCAGACGTACTTGAATCTGAAACTTTTTGTAGTGGGTTTTACTTACGATTGCTGCCAGATTGGGGTCAATGTTTTTGTTTTTATATCATATTGTTTTAGCCTACCATACAAATACTGTCTTTAAGTGCCTTTTTGTACATTTAGAATGCATAGGAGGTATAGAATAGCCATTAAAAAATTAATAATACTCCAGCATATTGGCCAAAAAAATTCTGTTTTTCAGGGAATTGAGGTAGATAATCATCATGTTTTGTTCTCATTAAGCAATATATGCCACTGGCCATGAATTTTTTAATTGAGGTTAAATTAATTGTCACTTGAATTAACACTGTGAACTTGCGTACAATATGCATATAGGTTATTACGCGCATATTACCAATTAAGGTAGAGGGTCTACGTTTAATAATAACATTACAAATTACCGTGTTCAATGAAGCGGATATCAATAAACTAGAATGTTTTAACATTTATCATAAAACAAAGGACAGATTCCTTTGCAAGATATTCAGTGAAAATAACCACATGATGAAACCCCTAGACAAAGTTAACACGTACTAAAAATCTTAAAGATTTGACCCGACATCATTCCAATTACCGTAAGAACTTCTGACAAACCCATAAAGTATAAATAGCCGAGTCTCCAGTCTCTGGAAATGGAAACATTTTGTGATAAAAGTAGCACCAAACGAGTCGACCAAATATTATCTTGGTAATCTATTTAAAATAATAATAATGAGATCTTCATTGTAGCTAACACGTGGTTCGGGATTCTAAAATTAACATAGCTTTTGTGCCCCTATGATATTTGAATATTATTTTACTAAGAAGATTCATAAAGTAAAAGGAAAAAAACCTGTTTGTAGAGAGGAAAATAGAAACGTGATTATCACAGAATTCACGTAATGTGTATATTGTGTTTCTAATTTGACATGGCAACTTGATACTTTTATTGGATTTAGTTTTAGTGTGAACCTATTAAATTTAAAAATAAACATATATTTAAAGTTACACTTCGAGTGGAGTTAACAAATATGGCTTTCTTTACCAATTTAAAATTATAAGAAAACAAATTTTAGTCGGTTTAGTTGCACCCAGATGGTACGACTAACTTAAAGCTTACAAAATCAATACCAATTTGTTTCCAGTTATTAGTTAGTTTTTTATAATCTATTTTTAGCTTATCGATTGACACTTACTAATCGCATCACAAAAGCAATGACACCAGTTTTTTAATGAAAGTTATGAAGCAATAAAATTTTGTTATTCAGTTAAAGTTAGGCATACACTCACTATCTGACTGACTCATTATCTACCTCTAAAAGTAACTGTATTTACATCTGGTATATAGATAAAACACACAGCTAAGACGCCGAGTACAATTGTGTCTTATTATGTTATTGACAAGTCATCGACCCGAGAATCGACGGGGATTAGGAAATAGTTACTTGGATCTGTTCTGCATGAAGAAACGGGAAGTCAATCAAATGCGTATTGACAGCTATAATATAAACGGATAGCATAGGAGTTGAATACAAACGACATTCTGTTCCAAAGGTTCAATTAAGTGACTCCCTTATCATCAGCAGTTTATACTTAGACGGCAGTGCAACAGGGTATTAATTGATGGCAGCAATGTACCTACAGAGTGATAGCGCTAGGTCTAAATGAGCTATTGTCTGCTTCATCACTTGTGGAATTTTAAGTGTGAAATAATTATTGTAATTATTGTTTTATTCACCTCGGCTTTTCTGCGCAATGATAAATTTCTCCAGATATCCCGTGGACTCGTCCATCCAACTTTACTTTTATCAGTTCCACTGTCTCCTACACTACTAGAACATCTTGTTAATTTAGTTTGGTGCCCGTTGACGTTATTTAGTGCACGGTTTTCCATGTTGTCTGCATTCGAATACTCCCCCAACGGTTCAAGATGGCAAAAAACACGACGCCACCGTCTTTATAAACACTAAAACTTCTCAGAGATACCACGCACGTTAAAAGAGTCACTTGTTTAGCTATTAGCACAAATATCTTAAACAACAAACGTTTATAGTCACTTTACATTGTGTAGACCTTTTTAGTTGTTATGAAATACTACTGCATCGATTTAACACCATTGTTCGTCTGTTGCCATATAAACACAAACAGATCACAATCACAGCACTAACATAGACAAATACCCTAAATTTTAAATTAATTAGTACACTATGAACGTCAATTGGCAATATTCGAACACAAATAAACTGTTGTAATATGAAGCACCGTTCACGACTGTGTCAGTTTGAGGTTAAGTTACAAGCGATACCGGCTGCCGGTTAGCGCGCCACACCAGCGCACGGTTTGAGCCTGTCCCACACGGGGTGATACTATTACCTATATTTTATCTACCTCGTCCAAATATTTTATCAGAGAGACTCATGTTTCCATAATACATAGTTATCTCTATCTCATTAACTTAAATCTTGTGTACCTATTCTATGCTAAAAAAAATATTTCCAGGACTTCCTAAGTTAGTAAGTATAAAATAAAAAATATTAACAGGTAAGCTATATTAATCATTGTTTATCTGTATTATTCATATAATTCAACTAAAATAGTTACTTACTACTACTTATACTCAGATAACAACTGTTACGATGGACAAAAATCGCTACGTGTGTAAGGGCCTCCATAAACTCAGGTACCGCTGAGTTAATTATGACTATATCTATATAGACGACGCAAAAGGATCCAACCCGTCACACTTATGCCCACCAGACACACAAAGGCAACGAGCAATCGTTCCAAAGAGGGTTAAATAAACAGTCGATAAAACGCAAAATGAATCTTGTGCGATTGTATCAAAGTTGAAAACATATTGGTCATTCAATGGTGCTTAACTTTTTATGCAGTGGGCTCGACAATGCAAGAGGAGAACGTGCCCTAACCGCTTTAGCCGGGTCAGAAAAAATCGTTTCGTAAAACAATGTTGCCTTGTAGTGACAACTATTCTGCAGCACAGACTTAAAGATTACGTATAATGGCGATATCCCAAATTATGACAATGAAGTATTTACTTCGTTCTCGATGCACCTAACTAGTCAGCCGCGATAACGTCCGAACTGATAAATATTTCCAAGAAATCGGAGTTGAGTAAACATAGTGATAAAGAAACCTTTTCAAACATAGGAAGGAATAACAAGTCATGAATGATCCTTTTATGTCGCAACAGTTGAATAAACTATTGAGGTCTTTAGTCTACATTACTTATTATAGTACTGATCTAATATAGTAATGACTGATTAATATTTTAAAGTGTATACTTTCCTTTGTTCAATCATGAATGTGAAATTCCGTTTTTGTAAGAATAAATATGCCTCCAAGAAGTATTTAATGTTCCCAGAATTTTCAGGTCAGGGTGCGACCGTGAAACAGTTAATGTCTGTTTAGTAAATTCGACACATGCGAGCAGAATGTCCGCCAGTGCACGAGGTTATTTTTAACCCTGTAGACATGGGGTCAGTCACCCGCTCACCCCTCCCGCACTCCGAACCAGTCCTATCACATGAGGAACTGCGTGGGAATAGGTTGCCACCATGTCCTTACCCCGGACAGAAAAACACAAAACAGCAAAAACCGAAGGGATCGGTCACGACCACCATTCGAAAATGAGTGACAGGTAATACTTCTGAGACTTTGGGATTTGTTCATTTATTTACCATCTTTCCAGTATATACTTGGTAGTTTTTGCCACAATGTACTCGAAAGGAATACAAGTATTTCCGAGGTTTTTCAAAGAATTTTGATATTATGATTTCCTTAAATAAGATGGTGTCTTCCGCAACAACGTATACAGAATAATTGTTTTTACATATAAATATGTATATATTTTTTTAAATTATTTATTCCGTGTAATATAATATATTATTCATTATCATGAATAAAAACTACATTTCAAATACACGGTAATAAAGCTACTGGACTGTGTACTGTCTGTTTTATGTAATACAACACCTGACACGGCTGTATACCTCTGTGGTTATGGTATCAATAAGATTCAATGTAAACAAACTAGTTTCAGGCTGGCTGTACGTAACTTACCATCCTTTACATATTTCCGTATCTTTTATGAGAGCTAGTATTATAGCAGTCAATTGTAACTTAAAAATTAAATCTAGCAACGATCAAAATCCACTCGGATGATAAAATATTTTAGTTATAAGAGGGAATGAACTAAAATAACACATCCCTTTTCGGGGTGCGCTAACTACGATTAGGGGACACGTTGAGGGTGCACATGAAAAACGGCAAGGGGACTCTAACACTTACCGTTGCCGTGTCGGTAAGGGTGACAGTAGCAGAGGTAGGCCCATTCGGTGGTGCATTGACTGAAGAACCAACCGACACTTGGTTGTTAGAATTCTGTTCAATGATACGCTGCCTTAGTGCTAATCTTTCTAGACTAGCCAGGCGATGCGATCCGCCAGTTCCCTCTCTATCTCGTTCCCTAAGCCCAGTTGTACTGCCCGCACTGAAGGACCCACTATATTTAGGTAATGTCGGCGGTGGAACTGGTCTAGCCGCACCGCTGCGACCAAGCAGCGAACCGCTGGAAGTATACGCATAACTGCTGGGAGTCCCAAGTGTGGCCGTACGTGGCGCGGCACCAATTCCATTTAGGGCACCTGTGGTCCCATTGACGGCGCTGCCATTCACCGTCGTCGTGCTGCCGTTCATCTCCTTAAATTATTGTCCGTCATACGAGTATTATAAAATCACACACTGAGTCACTGGCTGCGTACTACGTTACGATCGCGAATTAGTGCGGCGCTATGCCGGTGCGTTCAAGCCGGGTGCCCGACGGAGGCGGTTTGACAGCTCGGCGGTGCAGACGAGACGCGCGGGCGGGCACGGCGCCCCGCACTCGACGCCTCCGTCGTCGCGGCTTACCAGTACTGCCGACCCCACTACATCTCAGGATTATTGCCACAACACCGTCAGACCAGAGGGTTGAAAATGCATTGTTGCCCGCTCTCTGTCAAGGTCAACACATATAACCTTACTCTATTTAGATATTGCATTTCCCGACCAGTTTAGACTGGCTTTTGTTTTCATGAATTAAATGATGCAATTATTTTATAAAATACGAAATAATTAGCTAAACGACAATTATTAGATAGAAATGAAAAAGGTTTAATTAATAAAAATTGATAATGGGGTACTCGTACCCATTATAAAAATAAAACAATATCCACATGGACTTTCTCTTCCAACGGGACCCGAGCCAAACGTCACTTTCAACGAGAAGATAAGAGAGCAAAAAAGTTTTAAGCAGAGACAGATTTTAGTGACGATATACGATTCAGTATAACTAGGCAATATGAAAGGAAGTGACGCTGTCTAGTTCATCGTCCTGGATCCAAGAAGCATTGCATTGAGGCGGCTACTAGCGGAAGTACATTTAAGGTACAAAGACAAAGACTAGTTTAATAAATATAAACAATATATGTACCCTTATAGCTTATTTCTAAAATATACTCCACCACATAACAATTAGGTATAATGAATCTTTAAATAATCCCATCACCAAAAAGGACCAAAAGAGTGATGTTGTTTTTAAGCACATGGAATCAACAATTTGGTAAGGAGTAAGAGAACACGTGTTAGTCGCATGTTTCAGTGAGGTCCAGCCATCGACCGCCACATCGCGCATGCGCGTCCTCACCCCAATCCTGCGACCGTCTTACTTGCACAACCCCTCGGTTCGGTGCATGCAACACCGACGTGCTCCCCGTTCTCGTCTTTTCTATGAATAGAAAGACTATTGCAAAAAATTATCACTTTATAAATGCAGTTTCCTAATGGATAGTTCTTATATTGAATTTGCTAGGTTAAGTTGATATTTACCTTTTAAAAATAAAGGCGATAACGCATTATTTACATAAATGGTGATACCGTGGTTACTAGTGTACAAGCTATTCAGTACTCATCAATAAAAATTGAAGACAAAACTGGTCACCAGATCAGTATGACCATTGCTTCTGTCAAACATAAAGTAAACTAGCGCCATCTAACGGATGTTGTCGACGTCGGGTATTTAGCATGCATGTTGGTAACATTACCTTGGTATATTATAGTACCGCTAGGCGCAGTTTGAAGCGAACAAATGTAAACATTGCACTCATATGAACATAATGTTATTACTCAGTTAATCACCAGGTGGCGTTGTTTCAATACTCAATGCTTAATTTATCTTTGTTCTGTAAAAAGGTTGGGTATTGATTCCATCATTTCAATGAAATAATTGAGAAGACCTTAGTGAAGTCATTGATTAATTATCGTGGTTTCTTTTGACTTAAGAACACAAGGAATTCTCTAAAGGAAATAATTTCCAATCAAAGGAGAATTAGAGCTAATCAATCTCGTTAACAAATTGAAACACATGTTAATTGCATACACGGTGTGAATTACGATGCACCGTGACGATGTATAGAAACCGTATATATTAGACATCAGAAAATGAGAGTATGAGAGCGCTGTTTCAGCAAGCTACAAACAACAATTTCATTCAAGTACGAATGCGTAAGGAAAGTATGTTGAAACGTAAACATATTGAAAGATACTATAAAGATGCCTAGGCGCATTTAAAACAATTAAGAGAAATAAAACAGGTGGCCTTACTCGCGCCTAGATATAATACACTACCTTACAGGTTCTTAAAGTAAAGACCATGAAAATATCCGATTTTTTTATTGGTTTGCTTATGATACAGATATTTAACAAAGGCGACATATATTCAACGTTGGTTTATGTTGAAAGTGCACTTGAGTTGCGGTCTGAATTGATGACGTCTGTTTAGCAACGAAGCTACAGCTAAATCAAAACATATGAGGACGGACTCGCCATTCCGCTGCCATATTCATTAACTAATTTATATTGAAACACACCAATGATTGTGTTACATGCACCAGGCCCAACCGCACAACAGCATGCGAATATGCTTGAAAGACCTATATCAATTGTTTATTGTTGATACATTGTTGAAACGATTTTTAATGACAATCGTCAGGATGGATAGGATATTCATAGCCCGGTCCTTCAGAAAGCCAACAGGAGTCTAAAATTAATCTTAAAAAAATATAGTTTTACCTAAATAAATATCGTACACCACATCAAAATATGGACGTGTCACAAATTATTATTATCCAGAAATAACCTACAGTTTCCATAGTATTTATTATGGACCCACTATTACACAAACAATATGGAATGGTGTAAATTTTGTTAGCGTTAACGAAGTCAAGCTTAAGCAGAGAGATAAGAAGCCTAGCAAGTCAATAATACATGTAGACATTAGACGTGATAAAACTATTGAGGTTGGTAATTACCCAACGAGTGCGCTTAACAATCATTAGTAATCAGCCATGACTGCATGCCTCAGACTGTTCACAAGAAAATGTGGTTTCCAAATAACTATCTTCTCGGTCGGATTGACTATTAAGTAAAGAGCTAGCTGACATAGAAGCAGCACTTAAAATTATCTGTTATTATCGAAACTAAGTTACTAGACACGAAATCCACAAAATAATTATTTACCATCAGTTATAAATATATCAACGAACGTGCCGCTAAGCAAAACAAGCACGTGCGATCGCACTAACAGGCAATGTTTCTAAAACAAACTCCAATACACAAAGCATGATTACGACTCAAACAATTCGGCGAAGTCACGCTGAATCAGAAATAGAACGAACCATAGAAACTCGGCTCTGTTCAATGACCAGCCTGTTTCGAAGACGACTGCTTGCTTTCGTAAATAAAATTTTCTGTCTAATGAGTGTCTAGTAAGATTTAATATAACAAGAAGTTGTTCTACCATTTCCCTAAATTTTAGAACAAAAAAAAAAATATACATATTTTAATATCATAGAAGACTTCTTTTAGCTTCACTGTGAAACCAAACATTAATATTGAATACAGTTAATACTCATTCACGTAATTACAATCCTCCCAGCTATTTTTCTCTGCATGCAGTTCTGCGTCTCCTATGCCTCTTAATAATCGAATTTAGCAATGAAATGATTACAATAAGGGGTTGGGTATCTTCATCTATAACCTTGCAGCTTCGATTCCATTATTTTACAAGATTTTAACATATAATAACTCAGATCATCATAGATTACTAACACAACACACAAGTGTGTTGGCGTAAACAACTGATCGCATCAACCTACAGCATACACCAAACAATAAATCAAAAACATTGATGATGCAAATGATTAATTATTGCTCAGCGAATAAACCAACATAAATAATGATTATTATGTTATCTTTGTTTAGAAAATTTAAAAGAAACAACCCACGATCGTACATTAACAAACGAACACGGCCATCGCAACAACGAAAACTAACATGTCATGTAGTTAGGTAAACAGCGTACTTGACGGGTAGGCATCACACGATGGCTATTTAGAATAAAATACCATTAACTTGCCTTAACAGTCTTATGCCACTGCTCTACTAATAGAAGTCGGACTTTAGTTGATACCTACATTCCAATTGCAAATTACATCCATCTATGCGATACGAATGCTTAAGCAAAAATGCAGTTGATCATTTGGTTTTTTTATTCAAAGTGTATTTTATTTAAACTAATGATTCTACTATATAGTCCCGTTTATCTTGAAAATATATATCTGGTACAGATTTAAAGCTATGGTCATTAATTATCTTAACCTTTTGTTATAAGAATACAACCCTAATATCAATCCAATGTAATAAAAATATTTGGTTCGAGAAGAAAAGTCGTACCTATGAAAACAGTACGTTTCCTTTTTTAAGGCGGTAAAAATAAAATGAAAATACTTAACCTGCCAAAATAATAAATTAATCCGTTCTTAAAAGCAGTAGGTCCTAACTCATTTTATGGATCGTGTAATGATTCGCTAAATATTATGGTTATTTTCCTTGTAACAGTTTATTTATAAACTTCTCAGATCAATACATATTATGATAAGAGGAACTTTATTTATGTAGATAATTCTTGATGTTTTACATTTTCATAAAGTTATTAGTAGGCGATGTGTGTCTCAAAGGATAGTTAAAAATATTGTCACGAAGCTGTCTCTTCAATAGAAAGTTTAACCTAATCTAATACCGAATGGATATTTATAATTAAATCCCGCGCTGCGAGCAATTGTCATGTTTTAAACCATTAATGATATCACGAATGACCTCTTTTCTCTGTACAAATATATCATGCTGATAAGGAATATTAATATAGCCACTGCAGAAGTATTTTAATGTTTACTATCAATGCTATCCTAATAAATAACTCGATAATGTCATTAAACCAATGGCAATGTTATATTTTTCGAAATGGTAACAGTGAAGGTTTGCCTTTCATTAGGTCATCGTTAATTTTATACAAACAGGAATGTGTTATGTCCTTACCTGGTCTGTAGCTTCCCCACAGGGCTTATAACGAGCCAAAACAGGTCTATTTCTTGATCTATTCAGAGGTGAATCCGACACAGACGTCATTGTATTTCACTCACGAATTATACACAAACACAAAATACTATAACGGTTATTTAATTTAACTATTATTATATTAATATAGTGCACACCCATATGCCGTTCAAGAGGAAAACATACTGTTTTAATTACAGCAAATATTGTTCCACTACTCACTAGCAAACGCGATACCACATTTTTTCGTCGACAAATCACATCCGGAGAAGAGTCGAGCGAAGACCGTGTGTGTGGGTGATTCAACCGATTACGACAACCACTTCACCTAGAACTACCACTGATAAAAGTTAATGTTGTTACACTAATAAACACACCCTAAGTGACTCAGAAAGTTATCGGATACCATGCAGCTAAAACTACAACGCCGCGAATAGTTCAGTTATTATTATCAGTAAAGTTTACAATGTAAAGCAAAACTCTACATTGACCACTGAATGCCGCCATTAAATATGTTACAACGGATCACTGGTAAGTAAACAAATCTTATATTTTTTACAAAACGCAAACAATATAGTTTGTATCCATAACTTTATTAATTTCATAAATGGGCTTAAGGAACTAATCTACTTATAATTAACTTTTACTGGCTCAATATATATTATTTTCACAACAAAATCACATTGCAACGACCACTCCACGATTACAAATTCACTAACTGAAACAATAAAACAATATACGCGTCGTGGATAGCGAACGGGTTCGTCACTGCAATCAGTAGTGATGTGTAAGTGTGGCCCGGCTAGCGTTCAAGACAGTCCCCATAGGGTTTTAGTATCGGTGTCATGGTGCTTGCTGCACCCGACGGTCGACGCCTGAGGGCCGAATAGCGGTCGCGAATTCCTACTCGTAATTCAAATGACGCACGCAAAGCATACGTGCCCAGCGGACAAACGGTCCTGGCGACCTAATAATTTCAACTCGATATCACTTCATTGCTTACTATATCAATACATTTAATTAAGTAAATGATTGACTTCAATGTGTCCATATCTTTCATACACTAGTCTTTGTAATTTACTCCCTTGACTGAAAGTTGAGTCTAGTACGTAGTTCATCAAATTTTAATCATTATGTACTCACCGCTGATTTCCCAAAGTAGATAATGCAGCACATGAAACAAATAAATTATTACTTAGTTAATTACACAGCATATGCATTGTCAGGTTCAAATTAATATAAGATAGATTTAAAAAGTCGATTTGCGTTAAGACGTAGGACACAAACACAAAACTTTGATTTGGATATAATTATAAATTTTAACTAGTGCACTTGTTCACATTTTTATATGAAGTTACACAATAATTTTATTCCTAACAAACATACCTAGACAAGGGAGGCAACAAGTACCAACATCTTCAAGGCTTTCTGTGCTCATGAAATCAACGTCCATTAACAATTTTTATTTCCTATTTTGTATTATTTTGTAAACAAAAATATAATTAAAGGTGCCAAATAACATGCAACTATGTGTCGCAAAGCGAGACATACTACTTACTCTGTATAGCTAAAGTCAACGCACGGTTCAGTGAATCACTGGACCTGTATGCTAGCATTGTTTTCAATCCCGATTGTTTTCACGTCGTCATTGATGGACATATTAAACAAATGACGCGACCTATTAAATATTAAAATCAATAACAAACGGCTTTTTCTTCACTTTCATCTAGCATTGTCACATTGTTACTCTTTAACTGCTACGTGCGAGAAAAATATCCTTACTCATGATCATGCATGACACACGGAAATTATGTAATTAGGAAATAACAAAAATTGTGATTAATCCGTCAGAATTTATCAATCCTAAGATTTCGCTTACTTAATTTTAATTGATCTAGGTACCTTTTATTATACAAACGATATGTTCTGTAAATCAGTAAGTTCAAAACATCGCAATTTCCGGAAACAGACGCACAATCGCACAATCTATTTACTTTTTACTTTACCTACCACTCATTGTTTTTCAGATAAAATAAATTCAATTACTACAGACGAAATAAATAAACAAAATACTATGTTACATATAATCTTTCCAAAAAAGCTTACATGACAAACATGAAGTCTCCATTGCTTCCATGATTGCTGAATATGTTCTTCAAGTCTTCAATTCAATTAATTTCGAATTACATTTAAATCATAATTCCCCAGAAAACCTCACATCGTGTTGGAAAACATGTTTATCACTACACTTTTAGTTGCCTGTGTACGATATACCAACTGTTCATTGAACTAATTGTTACTAAATATTGACAATGTGACAAAACGTTAGCTTAGAATACAACAAAATACGACAGAGACGTTACTAGATGTTTACGTATATGAGATAAGTAAGCGTTTTGCGGCGGTAACTAAGAGCAGGCGGTGTGCACGCTCGTCAACAGGGACTGAGCTGGCAGACGCGATACTGTACTGCGCGTGCAATTGCAGTACAAGCTATTTCAATACATGCAGGGAATTCGCGAGTCGGCGGATTCCAACCGCCCGCGCCGGGGTGGCCGCCGTGGAGCGTCGCGTGCCCCGTGAGGTCAATCTGCTTATAGCGACAGAGACTTAACTACGGCAACGACGAGATACGAAGACACTGAAGCTTCGTAACACAAATGCAGAACTGCGACAATTCCTGACAGTTCGATTAAACTCCATGTTTACAAATTAATTAAAACATATTTGACTCATACTAATAATATTGCGATAGTGTTTGCATTAAATTGCACAGCAATAAAATGAAGGTCATTTCCATTAATGATGACAAGACAAGCATGCAATTCAATAACAAATAAGGACTTTGAACCATTTGGTCTCTAGATATGCGGCCAATAATTAAGCATTATTCCAGCTAATAAAACAAATGAAAAGAAAAATATCTTCCAGCTCAAGAAATTTTAGCGCCCAGTTAAATCTATTGTATCCACAATATTCGGATATTTCCCTTCGTAAAAATACAAACATTCCTTACTGAAATGTTGATTAGTGCCTTATGGTTTAGACGAGCGAAAGCAGCCGAGTGTACCGAGTACGTGCGGAAAGGTGTGGATTACAGTGAGGGCGATATAGTGGTCAGTTTCCGCGTGAGGGCGCACATCCTGGGATGAGGTCACACGCTCTGTGAGCACGACACAATACATCTATCGTATAAGAACACGCATTATGTGTCCAGGCACAGGGACAGTCAACAATCTCCATATTATTCCTTACTCATGTAGAGTACTCATAAGTTCTTAAAATTATTGCTTTGACTAGTGATAAAAACTATAAAATCACTCATCTTCTGAAACTGTCATAACTCATACTTAATACATGCAAATGCATATCATATGTTAAAATGTTCAGTTGTCTTCACTATTTTAATGTGGTTCATTACCAGACTACAAGTCTACAAGCCTACAAGCAAGATTTGAATAAAGTTTGTCAATTATTTTTGCACTTCCAAATAGTGTCTAAACCTCTTTTTGATTAACCAATAAATGAAAGTATAAGATTTGTCTGTGTGAAATCAACTTTAATGAATCCCCAATTTATCAGTATTATATTAATTACATTTTCCTTATTGTTGCATCTACCTCCTGACATTTTCTAAACAGATAACAAAGTTTTTACCAAACAGTTTATTTTAATACTGATAACTCTCATGAGTCCATTGTCACATTTTCTTCCTTATCCTCACTATCATTGGGATGATAGCCCAACACAACAGCAGCACAATTAAACTTCATGAATCCATATTCTATATCAAACTGGTTTCTGTGTTATCAGTATGAGAAATTTAAAAAAACTGGAAATAATCTATAACTGTGGCACCATCTAAAAATATTGCAAATATGTAATAGCTTTTCTTCGCATTTCATTCAACACACCAACAGTGGTGTGGTTGTTAACAGTGGAATGTGACTATACAATAGTTTCAGGATTCATTTATCGAGCAATAATCAACTTTTGTATATATAAAAATAATCTTGAACTAATTGTTCAAGTTTATTTCATGTTTTTTTCTGTATTCTGACCCCTTTGAAGAGGTTCACTAAAAATTGTATGTGGATGCAAGCACGACTGCTGATCATGGGGCCTCAGCATTGTGTGGTTGATCCAAATGCCTAATAAGACAGAGTCCACAATTACACTCAGTCTATGCAAAAAGGTGAAACGTGAGGTATTTGCTAAACCTCACTTTTACTTTGTGGAACTTACTAACACAACTGGAGAAGAGAGGTTTATATAAACATACAATCAACATTTGCAGTTCTGCATCTTTGGGTATTAACAATTATCATTTTATGTTGTTAAAATGAGTAAAAGTCTCTGATTTTGAACATCAAATTAATGCTATTAACCCATTATTTTTTCTTGCATAGGTCTTTACTTTTACAAAGGAGAGAAAGAGAAAATGCATACTAATGTCAGGATGTGTTGACTTTTTGTGATCAGGAAACACAAGTTTTATTGCTAGACATGTAACATGTATCTGACAAATCTGACTACAATATTAATGGCCTTCATCCAATTGGCAGGAGGTTAGTTACATACATAATTACACTGATAAACTATTACTCTGATTAGGTTCTAAAGAATAGTGAATTATATCAGCAATTCTTTTATCATATTTTTACAACTGATAATGATATCAATTGCAGAATAATTTAAACTTGTACTCGACAAATTATATAAATATTGATAGCTTTTAATCATTTATTATTTTTTAAGGAAACTTAGAAGCAATATGCTATTCATTGTGTTCAACTATGAATAGAAATATTTTCAAAAAATGATTTAAATCATTTTATACATTACAAACTTGATGACTAAGATAAGTTTAGAATTATTTTACAAAATTATGATGATAAAAACTTCTTATTATTTATACTTTTCACTGGTTACATTATTTATTGTGTTGTATAAATTAAGATCAAACTAAAATAATAAGGCAAGATAATTCTTTGAAAATATTTCAGAATTGAATTTCACACCACTCATTAATCTTTTATATCCAAATGGGAAGTTTTGATGAAAATTTTGCACTATAAGAGTTGTTCTATCAATTTGAAGTGGTTTAATCCATGTTACTTGCTTGATAGAGCTCTGGCTTATTATGGCATGTGACAGTGACCATATTAACATAATTAGAAGCAGAGTTGCTAATAAAGCTAAGTATTTGCAAGCCTGTTTAACATTGGAATAATACTGCACATTGTAATCTATTCCTTATTCTTATATTCAAAGAATTCAGAAAATTTCTAGTTTGATAGTCGTAAACTAGCAAGAAATTAATAGAATTCAAAATAAAATGAGGAGAACATTTAATGGTTTTCGCGTTTTATATCTAAGCAAGTGATTAAAAAAACTAATATAAATATTATCTAATCGTTGAGCTTCCATTGACAATAATCTAAACAAAAAGATCTAAAGAAGTCTCTTACATTACTGGTACTGTATGTATAAGAAAATCTGCGGATCTTAGACCTCAACATTAGCTATGTGAATCTGTATGTATGTATTATAAATTTATTGTTATGTAATACTTCCACATGGACATATTTTAATTGCAAATTCTATTTAAATATCCTAATGCTATACACAAACATTTGAACTAATACTCGGACCGTTTGAATAAGATTGTGAATATGAAATTGGCGCGAATGAAGCCAGGATGGAAGCGATTATACTACATAAGGATTTAAATAATCAACGCGTTATGTTACCTGATCTCTGCATATTGAAAATGCTAGGAATCCAATATTCAAACCAAAAACATCTCTTGAAACACCAATTCAACACACACTCTCAACGAACTGTCAACAATCTCACCCGCCCATGCACCGCGTAGAAATTGATTTTTGAAAATTATTGCCACTCCGAAAAAAGCTTATTAAATGTTTGCTAAAAGTAAAAAGCACAGTAACATCATTAAAAACTATATATAAGAAAAAAATGTAATAAATAATATATTAAATAAAACACTACTATCCAAACCAAACCATGGAAAAAGCGTGATAATGATCATTTACCCCTTGCCTTATTTTTCTTTATATATAACTCAAAAATTCTAAATCTGTTATTTATATATTTTGTACATCGGATTCTGTTGATTGCCCTTCCCTGAGGTCTCCACAAACCCTCATAATAAGTACCCCTCATTCGTCGACGATGACAAGAACGGTAGACGGTAGTTGTTAATACCTACTACTAAACATAATAATTAATATGACAACATTCATTTTCTATTTCACTATTTCTCATCTCAATCTATTAAATCTATGACTCAGCTATATCTGTCAATAACACAAATCAACAAAGTGTTTGATTTTATAAAAAAATATCAAGAGCATACAACAGTATACAACATTATTTACATGTATTACATTTTTGGTACAGAAACTAAAAAAACATATTGAAATCAAATCAAAGATCAGAAAAAAAACAATACCTGATAATATCTGTAATCTGCAAGATCACAGAGTACCTACCTACATTATTTTGAGCAAGATCGAGTGCGTCGTGCGTCATAATTCTATATTATTCGAAAATGAATGTTTTTTATAAACTGCATCCTCTAGCTTATAAAGTTGTTCAAAGAGTTATGAATATAAAATACAATAATATATATAACATTAAAAATAATACCAAGATAATATATCAGGTAAACATTTTATAAATAATTGCAAAACAGATTTTTCCTACTGTTACTGTTTCTATACCTACATTTGCTGAATTTGTTTTAGGATATTAGCTTACCTCATAAATTAATAACGCTTTCTACGGCATTATCTTTTTTATTATGGCCTGTTAAAAGTAAAGATGCTGCTGAAAAAAGTTGTACTCAAAATAGTTTGCCCATAGAAGATGCAGACAAATTATTTGAAAATGGCCACTATGAAGAATGCTATAAATTGCTAGCAGAACATCAGGTATCAGTTTTACAAAAATGTTATTAATTAAGTTAATGTAGGTAGTTGTTATTTTTATATAAAATTTATTACTTATCTAGTGATAGTGATAAACCTTAATTTACCAAATTATTTGAAACATGGTTGATGTCCACACCCCATTCTTTAGATGTATAACTATTTCAACTGCAAGTCATTTTAAACTTTTAAGGAAAAAGGTAATGTGGAAGTTCAATGGCGAATTTGTCGAGCCTTGTACAACATGTCAAAGGAATCAAAATATGACAAACAATACAAAAACAATCTAGTTGTCCAAGCATATGATATAATATTTAAAGTATTAAATGAAACTGAAGACCATTATGCTGTACACAAGTGGTATGCTTTATTGCTGGATGCTAAAAGTTCACTTGAAGGCATCAAAGAGCGAATAAGACAATTAGAAAATGTTAAAAAGCATATGGATGTAAGTCATTATTAAGTATTCACATAGTTGCTTTTTATAAGTTTAATTTGATTTATGTAAATGAGTGACACAATTCTTCACATGTAAAATCATTTTTATTTTCAGACAGCAGTGACATTAAATCCTAATGATGCTACGAGTTTACATATGCTTGGTGAATGGTGTTATCAAATAGCCGAAATGCCCTGGCACCACAGAAAAATAGCTGAGGTTTTATTTGCTTCTCCACCTTATTCAACTTATGAAGAAGCTCTAGAATATTTCTTAAAAGCGGAAGCAGTTCAGCCCCGTTTTTACAGTATTAATTTGTTAAGACTCGGGAATTGCTATCTGAAATTAAAAAAAGAAGATCAAGCAAAATATTACTTGCAGCTGGCTGCAAGTTATCCAGCTAAATCAAATGATGACCACAAAGCTAACACAGAAGCAGCAGAGTTGTTAAAAAAACTTAAATAGATTTTTTGACTGTGTATATAGAATTATTTTTAACAATATTTTACATATAATGTTGTAGTTTATTTACTTATAATTTAAAAAATCCATGACAGTTTGTCTAAATTATATAAAATTAAAATTATGATGATTAGTGATCAATTAGATTCATTACTGGTGGTGGTAGTATGTGGCACTTTTTTGTCCACACCCACACATAAAGTAAGAACTTTAACGTAATTAAATTTTTATTTGATTATTGAGAGTATACACATTGTTACATATTTTTTTCTTGAATTTGCAGATGATGATAGTTTAGATTAAAATAATTAAGTTGGCTATTTACATTATTTATTTTTAAATTAATTATGTTCAAATAAAGTAAAACTTATCTCGTAGAATATCCATATTTTGTAGAGTACTTCGAATGTTTTCAAACGACGTATTATCAATTTTTTTTAGGTGGCATACCTAGTTTCGGAAATTCGTACTGTTTATGGCTGGCAGCCTGGCAGCGGCCTAAAAATGGCCGCCGTTGCAAGGGTAGCATATTATTACCTATCATAACCAAAAAGTATCGATACTAGGTTATCGTACAATTTTTTGGTATATATATATTTTTTGAGATTATCTAACAAATAAATAAAATATTACTAATATCAATGTATACTACTACATAAATAGATACATTTAATAAAAAAAAGTTATTTAAGTGTTTAAAAACTTATGAGCATCAAAAAGTTTTTTTCACACTAAGACCCGGAACAACAATTTGTGGATCACACAAAGTGGTTTCCGTGCAGAGATCGAGTCCGCAACACGTTGCGCGGCATCCAATTGCCCAGCCACCGCGCCAATTGAGACACGGCTTTATGTCGGCAACGAGCAAATGGATTACCTGAATGTGAGCAATCAGCGCCGCCCATGGACACTAGTAGTACTAGAGAAGTTGTTACAGATGTGTTGCCGTCCTCTTGTGAGTTATTAGAGATTTAAGGATAGGGGGATTGAAGATGGGGGAAGGTGAAAGAATTGGGCCTCCGGTAACCTCACTTACACGGCAAAACACAACGTAAATTGTACCAGTTTCCTGAGAAGCCGTGATATCTCTCCCACACTTAACAAGGCGTATGGTGCTTCCTTAATGTCGCTTAGCTTTGCATAATCATATTAAACTTTTGACATAGTTTTTGCGTGAAATTGCGTGAGAGTAGCTAGTAGCTTATAATATTCAAATTATCAGACTTATAGCATTAAAGAAGAATCGTTTGTGAATGAAAATGTAACAAGCAAGCACGAGGTACTTTAACTCCCAATTCAATATTTTTCATGCCGATGACATCAACCAACTACCTACTAATGTGGGTCTGCGGTCGGCGAGTAAGGGCAGCTCGCCGCCTGACCAGAACCAGGCCCGAGCGTACGGCGCGTAGCGTTCCGCGCGCGCCTCAAAGAGCCAATAGACCACCACAGACGGGGCCCTAAAGGGCTGATGTTCAGCCGGGGTGGCGGGGTAAGCGCAATGAGGCACCGCGACCTCGGCCCAGAGCAGGAGAAGGAACAGGGGGGTTTTTAGTCAGCAAGAGTCTGACACTCCCTCCCGCCCGGCCCTGGGCGGGAGAAGTCATTTGATGATTTTCCCCTCACAAAAAATGAAAATAAACCTAATGTAGGTAACACCTTCTTTTTAGGTTACCTGTAAAAACATAAAAAAAATTCAGTATTAGGCAGTTATAGTTCGTTCAGAGATTGAAAAAAGCACAAAATTATCCGAACGTCCACACTCATTAATTTTAAATGCCCAATTTATTCCTAAAATATTGTTTTTTCTTTCAATACAAGATACTATAAAAATATCTCTATATTATGTAAGATAAATAAAACTTGAGATTTTAAATATAAATTAAAATAGAATAGAAAAGCAAATAAAGATTACCTTGGAACTCAGTGTAAGTATACATTCAAACACTGAACCTGAAATGGGTTCCAGTTATATTGAATATGCTGGGTACAATAAGCCCTGTATTTCAGGATACCAGGATTTTTGATCCTGATACCTACTACGAAAGTAATTTATCTTTTTTTTTATTACACCTTAGGAATTTTTTGAACAGTATGGTAACCCTAAGAGAAGTGCCAAAATAAAAAAATAAATGGCAGATGGCAATATTTGAAAGAAGTTCGTTATGTGTTATTTTCTGTGTGTAAAGTATTATTTAATTATAACAGCCATTATTTCATTTACAATTGTTTACTTTATTAAACGGTTTCTTTCCGCTAATATGTCTTCGGGTCATTCGGATGAATTAAGTGATGATGAAGTGTTTTTCGGAAAGCTGACTTTAAAAGAATTAAAGAAACATATATTATGGGATAAACAACAGAAAACGTAAGATACATTAATTGTACATAATAATATGTATTTAGTTTACATAATTAGTAGTGCGTTCAACAATAATCATTCAACATAGCAATACTTGTGTCAGTGACGACTTTATACTTTAATTTAAATTAAACCATTGAAAAATCAGCCCTAAGTTTAGTTAAAAGTATTCGATATAGGATATACTAATTTATTTTATTATGGTTGGTATATTATACTCCTTACCTTGTTCATCCCACTTCCCAGCACTCCCTCTGAAGGGTACCCACTGACCCAGCATTCTACTACAGTATTTTGGCCTAATACTACAAACATATTTGCTTATTTCTATAAAACTTACCTAAAGAGTCTTAATTCAATGTTTTTATTTGTGGTCCCAAGTGCAAACAACATTATTATTATAGAGTAGTTTAGAATAATATGAGGCACTTCCTTAACATATTTTACTGTATTGCATCACTTATTTGTATATTATATGTATTGCTTTACTTTGTTACAAAATATCAACGCATCTTAAATTGTGTTGAGATTTTATAAAACATTTATTTCAGTGTAAATTTTATAAATTCATACTCAGACCTCTACTTTGGTTTTAGAATTCATCCTGCAACTGCAACAAATAGCCCTGTTTGTTCTTATGATCCCAATGAAAGTTTAAAATTATTGCAAGCTCATTCACAACCAAATTTACTAAATATTAAAGAAAATCCAAATTGTAACAAACTTGATGAATCATGGAATGCAAAACCTATTGATGACAGTTTTATTAAAATGGAAAATATGGTGGCAAATTTATGTGTATCACCAAAAAACATTGCAAATACTGGGGAACTGAATAATACATTAGAAGTTATTGAATACATCTTAAATAATCCACCCGGTAGTACTAAAAATAAATCTGACAAAGCTGAACTGAATAATAAACATATTTCAATTAAGAATGAAGTTGATACATCTCCAACAAAAAACATTAAAGAAAATAAATGTAAAGAAACATCTAAGCCTCCAGAAACTCCTCAGAACACTCCTGTCAAAACAAATCACCAGATCAATAAGCATGCTGAAGAGTTTTCAACTCCAAGAAACATGAAACAGAAAACAATTTTTAAAACACCAGCTCAACCTACATCACTTAAAAAGCCTTCTGCTACTTCATTGAAGAAGACCCCTAGCCGATCTAATGCTTATCAGCACATAAGCAGTCCAGTTGCTTCATATATCAAAAACTGCCCCATAGTGCCATTGGTGAAAGATGTCCATCCAAAAAAACCATTGCCTGGGACTTCTTCTATTCCAAAAATTATCAAGAACACTTTACCAGCCACTAAACCAAGCAATAAGGAAAATGTTAACCTACCATCAGTTGCATACAAGAGTGCTAAGAAAACCAAAGTGGTAAGTTGTAACAAAAAGTAAAATGATTTACTGTATTGCCTATTTCTGTGCTGCCTATTAATACAATAATTGGGCTGCATTTTATACTAACATGCACACATCCACGGCTTACAAGTTACAAGTTTTATAATAAGTCTTGTTTTACAGATTGATATACCAGATGACCAGAAAATGCCGCAGAGTCAGTGGGCAAAGAAAATAATGACTAGTTTACCAAGACCACTGGTAATGAAGCATGATCACAGAGAGTTAAATTTTGCAAAGAAAAAACTTATCTCACAACAAGAAGACAGTTTTGCTGATCTCTCATATCACCAAGCTGAGGTATCTGTGTGCACACAGAAGTCTGCTTTCAAGCCTAACAAAAACTTTTGAGGTGTGTTAGTTTAGACAGTTCATATTATTACTATTGACTTAACATTATGATAATATGTATTTTATTATTAACTTCAAATTATACAGTAATGTTTTAATCTTCTGTTTTTGTTTTATTACATAATTGAATAGTTTGAAATTTAAATCAATTGAGCAGAGTGGCCCCTAAGGTTTGTTCTGCTGAAACAAAATCATGAAACGCAGTTATAGTAATTAACACTTTTATTTCATAAATGGTAATATAAAGTTCCTTGTAAAAGTACATAATAGTTATAAAGGTGGTACATCATGTGAGGCTGCAGTAAAGAGAAGAGCATTGTATGCTCATATTACAATATTATTGGTAATGTTATACAATTGTATAATTTTTGTGCGAAAAGTCTCATTGTGCAGGATTTTTTATTTACGTTTTCTAACATTATTACTTAGGTTATATACATTACACTATGAACTACATGTTAACATTGTATATTTTTTAAATATAGTAAAATAGTGAAGAATTGTTTAATATAGCAGGCACTATACATATTTGGCTCTTGTAGAATTATGCCTAAGAGCCTTTTAAAAATACATGGCTGAATATATCAATTTAAGACTACTAAGTATAAACCTCATATTATATAATAGCATTTTTCAAAACAATTTCATTAAGAAGTGTGTTATTAAAAATCCTGCATCAATATTGGAACTCATGTATACTCGGCTACTAAGTTACACCAGCAGAAATCAGTACTGGCTGTACAAAATAAAAACGGGTAGAACAATTATTTATCTTTTAACATTGTAAGTACAGTTTTGGTGGGTGTATCTCTGAAGTGCGTTTGTGCGTAAGTGGTGTCACTTACGCACGAAGCAAAGAATCTGAGATTCCGGCTTCCAAAATAAATATCAGATACAGGTGAGAAAAAGACTCGTTATATTCCTGTCTAGTATGTGAAAGCATTTATGTACTATTTCTTACATAATAAATACAGACAAATAAATGCGCTCACGACGAAGTACAATAGTAATTCGTTTAGCACCTGTTTGAAAAGCAGAAGTTATACTTAACTTTATATACGCCTTAAAACTACTTCTAAGAAAAATGAACGCTGGTTAACACTAACATTCCGCAAAAATACATCTTCGACATTTAAATAGTTTCCTAGTTATTATAAACTTTACTGTATTACACTTCTTTATTATATTTATATTATCATCTAACAATGCAAGAATAAAAATAAAAACAAGAGTATAAAGCTCCATTTCGTGTTACAAAATATATTTGCAGGCACAACTTCATTAGTTTTAAACACTACTTGTCTCATTGCTGGGGTTATTTGTTTCGTAACAACGGTTACAACGGCAGTGTATGGGCATAGTGCAAGTTTATAATGGCTTGACTCACACCAGTGGCCTATGGTTAAGTATATAGGACACTAGGAAGAACACTTCTATATGTTCACTTGATTACAAGCTCATTTATAGTTAGGATTATCATACAGGACTGCAGTGTAAAAAAAACATAAAATGCAATACACAGCACAAATTGTAAAAGACTAGAATAACAAAAGGAAGTTACTGGAACATTTTATAACAGTTACATGAATAGAAATGGTTGCATTGTTTAAACATGTCATTTTGTAAAATAATTAATTTTTAAATAATAAAAAATATCATTGTGAGATAAATATCCTTAACTAAATCTTTATAAAGTTCAATTGTAATTATTGTCACATAAAACCACGCTTATGTTTATATTACTTAGGCGAGCAGTCCTAACAATGGATTCATAACAATGATCCATACATCCACTAATTTGATTAGTGAACTTTATCGTCGACTAGCAGTAAACACACCAAATAGACTAAACTCATTTGACTACATGAGATAATGTATTCGAGATAGTTCTGGTGAGATTATATTTTACGATACATAAGTGTGACATTATGTAGTTACGTACACAGAATAATAAAATTTATATAAAAAATCACAATAACTTAAATAATCACTTTAAGCTTACATCACTATTTTGTGCGTCGAACTCAAAACACGAAATTATAATGTTCTCATAAGATTAAATACGCATGCTTTTAATATTAATATAAGTGGCGACCCAAGATCGGTATCTAAAATATTTGGTGCATTGCAACTTTGAATTTTACTTTCCATGTTAAGATCCAATATTATCGCGACTGACGTGGACGACACACGTCTTCGTTTCGCAACAAAGCGTGCAAATTGATGAGGACGGTCCAGAAGATGAATCTACTCATGGAAGAAATATAAATTTATAAATAATTTAGTTCGCTTTTTTGGTCTTATGAAATATTGCGCAGTCAGCTATACCAAACCTCGGCATCGCCACGAACTATAAGTATGTTAGTGTAAATGTCAGAGATTCTTTAAATCATAAATATAACAAATAATCAAAAAAATAAGTAATCTAAAAATAAAATCAATTAAAAAATAAAGACATATAAAAATTTCGCAGGTTATATTGGCAGATTACATCTCGCCAGTATGAATCCTTACGTTTACAGCATACCAGGACGGTCACTTTCCTGGTTTCCAGACTTCTCGAAGAACATGAAGTCCTGAAAGGAAATATTTTATTGAATATGAAATACTTATGTAACTAGAACTTTCTGTCAAGCTAACACAACAACCATCATCTGAGTTGCGCATAGGGATACTTCCCTTTGGTTTGGTTTGGTTCAACACCGAATGGGTTATATCTCTATATAAAAATGATCAAATGTGTTGGTAAGCGCATGACTTAACAACGCCGTGTAAAATATATTACCAAACCATATCGATCTTTAGTTGTTGTAAAAAGTGTAGTAGAGCATAGGAGATAATTGGGATATTGCCTTTCGTCGATAGTGAAGTAGAAATGTGCAGGAGCTAGTTAATAAACATGGTTAAATTTAAGCTTTCAAAACAGTGAAGTCCTGATTGATCAGTCCACTCTCTCCACTTTTTTTAAATTTAGGGTGCATCAGAATTTTTGTTTAAATTAATTTTGTTGTATTGGAGCTGGAGTTACATGAAAATTCTATTAATAATTGATATTTTTGCTCATCATCATCAGCCTATAAGTGCCAACTGCTGAGCAAAGGCCTCTATTCACAATGAGGTTTGAACATCAATCACCACGCTTCCTCAAGGCGGATTGGCGATTTCAAACTTTGAAATTGAAGTTTTTTACTTCACAGTGTTTTCCTTCCCCGTATTTTTTTTTTTGCTCAAATGATTTTATTGTATTTGTTTGCTCGATTCCAGTTATCACCTCACGACGGCGATGTGACGCACAGTTAGGGAAGCTCTCATCTAGGCAATCTGGTTGTTTTTATCATTTGAATGGCATAATGCATATCTTTCAGAACTATATGTATATAATACAAATAAAAACATTGCATTTTTTAAGTATAGTGTCCTTTATATTGAAATGCAGATAATATATTGCGTCAGTTTATCAAACTGTCGAAATCCATATAATGTGTATGTACACACAACTGCACTTTAGTCTATTGCTAATTCTTTTATAAATTTTATACTTTCTTCCAATATTGTTCTATTACAATATTAAACTAGATATTACCATATTTGGCGTGATGCCATAAATTATATAGCAATAGACTATCACCAGCCAATTAGTGTGAGAAAGCTTGGTGAATAATGCTTGTTAAACATTGAAGACATTATTATAATATTGTATAAGTGAACTGGCCTCGGCTTGATATACAACCCCAGTAAATTACCATGAAACTTTAATTAATCACATTCGTCTAATTTATTAATGAACCACTCTGCATATTCATTATGCCAGTACAAAAATTTGTTCAGTGTTTTAAAATAAATTTAAACTAAATTACAATTATAACATGTACTTACAATGAGGAAGCACGCTCCCAAAAGGACGGCCTTTATTTTAACGTCCAGATCCATAGGGAAAGTAATTCCGAAGTAATCGGAATCAGTAAATGCCTCTCGCGCCAAGCCAGACCATTGCTTAGTAATCTTACCAACTTTCGTTTCACCGTCTTTGGAGTAGACCTGGAATCATAAAATAAGATTTTAGGTACTATTGATGAAAAAACCTTTAATCCATAAAATATGGAAAATACTGTATGATCTAAGAAAATATAATTGTTTCTACCCTCTCTACAATATACGTACTGAAAAAGCACTTCGTCAGCTGATTTCAAACTAAAAATGTTCAAGTAGGTACATACATGGAATTCGACATCTCCACAAATGGAGAACGTACAAAGCGGTCCCTTGATTCTGAGAACAACGTCGCCGGCAGCGTTTTTAATGACGTAACAGGGCTTGCAGATAGACCACTCTTGTTCAATGGAGCCAATTACAGTGCCTGGTGGGGCAGAGACCTCCATGCTTTGCAGCCAGCATGGGCACCAGCACGAATCACAAGCTAGTGGGCGATGGAGGTGGATTACCTGTTTTACACAAATAATATATTATTATTTATTTTTAAATTGTTAATAGAAAAGACCTACGTTATAGGGCTTTTTTTGTGATAGGGAAAATCATCAAATGACTGCTCCCGCCGCCCAGGGTGAGGAAAGAGGTAGTGTCAGATGTTTATTGACTAAAAACTGCCCCGTTCCTTCCCCTGGTAGCTGAAATTAAATAATTTCATCGCTGATTTAATGCATACATTATTCCTTTAAACAATATATCTTGAATTATTTATGAATTAAAATAAGAATGAATATAGAGGTACCTATATAGAGCCTCGGAAATGGCTCTAACAATTTAAATGTAGTTTTGAATATAACGAGTTTCAGAGCCGAATAATTAATCTAAATAGGTTTCGTTTTCAGAAAAAAGAAAGCGAGCTGAGCTCAGGTACTAATAATATGCATTAATTTAAAATAGCAAATTCGCACACTTTTGCATGCGACACAAGCAGGTTGGAACAAAACTAATAGCAGTCAAGGCCAGTCAGTAATTGTTATTTGAATTTAGCAAACCATGACGAGATCATTTTGACCTTCAATGTCAGAAAAATAGTGTAAGTATGTTTTGGAGTTACATCTTCAGTACGTCGAAGATAATACTGTAGGAAATTATTTAATAATATCTTTTAAATAAACATTGCGTTAATATTTTTATATAAACTTTGTGCGCATACTATGTAGAAGTGTCATTTAAATACTAACTTGCTACGTAAGTAATAAGTCGAAGGATAGTCAAAATTTACCTCATTCCTGAAATTATCCATGATTTTCATGTCAAATGGTCGCATGGGTCCACAGCAGTTTCTGGTGCAGCAATCATTGTCTTCCACCGCGTAGTAAACTTTCTGGCCAACACTATTTTTCACTGTGTACTTGTTGTTAGTTTCAAAACCCACAAACGCCTCCAAAAGCTCCACCTTTTGATGAACCAATAACCCATCAATCATAGAAAGGTATTCCAATCCTGGCGGACAATTGCTGAGCCCTTGCGGTACTGTCATCCATCCACCTGAAAATATTATAATGAATACATTAGCAAATGCTTATATATTTTATGGAATACGTAATAATAAATATGCCTTTTTGTAACCACGCGAAGAAATAAATAAATAAATGGAGCTCAAATAGACGGGTTAAATTCCATGCATTTTGTAGTCAAGAATTTTCAAAACTGAATATTAAGTTTTAACTTTTCGCCAGACCTAAAACCCGAACACAGACTCAGTCTGCAGCTGTACCTATACCTAAAGCTACCCTACATAAAGATCTAGACAATCTAATATGTATTAAATGTCAATGGTGCATACTTATTGTATAGACAGAAAGTTAGCCAAATTAGGTACCTGTTATTTTTTTATGGATATTGCACAAACAAAACATGACAAACATATTAAAATACATGAGTAAAATAATTTGTGCGATTAGTAGACACCCTCCACCAAACTGCGATCTGTAGTAAAATAAAACCTTTTCTCTTCCTCCGACAGAAACTTTTCATAACCACTTGTGGGAGATTTAAACAATGTTCTACAAATTCTGTTCAGACTTCTTTTAACACTAGAAACACTCAGAGTTTCGAAATAAACACTTTTATGGCGGATATTGCCAATACCTATACACTTCTTCTTGTTTGAATTATATTTGCTTTTAATCCACTCAATACACTTTTTACCTTTCTTATTCTTATTATCAGAATCATCTGAGAATAAATCTAAATTTACTTTAATGTCTTCAGACATATTGCAAGATATTGAGTAAAATTAAGCAGTAATAACCACTTGCTCTGTATAATACTACTGAACATAATACAAAACCAACATTTTATCAATAGTCTTGTAGCAAAGGTATCATTGCACAAACAGTAAACACCCTTATCTAAGTAGAAGTCAACAACTTCTATAGAACAAATATGACAGATCAAATACAACAATGAGTGACAATGTTAAGAAATTATTACAATTTATTTTTGTTATGTAATATTCAATTCAATGTTGTGGTTACAGTTATATCATATTCTTAAAGAAAGTAATCATAAACCCAAACTTAGTGCTAAGTTCCAAAACTTAGCTTGATATCACTAAAGTAAACTCATAAAATCTATTTTTTTTTAATATTATGAGGAGATTTATTTTCATGTTGATGCAAATATCCTAATATTATTAACATCAGCATCATCAGCCTGTAAGTGCCCACTGCTGAGCAAAGGCCTCTTCTCACACGGAGAAGGTTTGAGCATTAATCACCACGATTGCTCACTGCGGGTTGGCGATTTTAAATTTATAGGTAATTAGAAATTATAAGTCTAGGTTTCTTCACGATGTTTACCTTCACCGTATGTCAGTGATGTCTAAGTAATCATAGAAAGTACATATAACTCGGAAAAAGTCACATTGGTACTTGCCAGGTTTTGAACCCAGACCCTCACGCATGAGACGCGTGCTCCTTAACCTCCGGACTACCACGACATTTTTATATTATGAAACAACCAGGTATATCACAATTTTTTAGAATGTGCATAATTTTTAACTCAAATACAAATAGTGTTTAGGTATAGTCATGTTCTGTCATCTAAAATCTGGATTTATTCAAACTACATTTTAGATAAGTAATTAGGCACACTAGATACTTTTGAGCAAAAAAAAGTAACTATGGTCTATGGTTTAAGTAGTTAACCAAAGATCTTAGCATGTCTTTTAATATAAGAGGTTTATAAAATACATAAAATATTTTATTTTATTTGATATCATCAATTTAGGTAAATACTTGATTGTAAATATTTTAGCATATAATTTTTAGACAACTTTTACATAAAAAAGATTAAGATTGTTTACATTTATTTAATGAATTATTAATAATTATTTAAGTTAATTTGACACATATCAAATACAGTTACTACAGTTTACTGTAGCCACTACATTAAAAACTTTATCTGGAGTAAAATGTACAGCTTTTTTAAAATTCCTGAATCTGTTTGTTTTTATGATGTATGTATTGTGGGAGGTTGGTTTTTCTTTAATTCCTTTGATTTTGTTGGGGGATGGATGTAGCCTATCAGCGTCTATGTCATATGACCCAAGAAATCAATACTGTTTGAAGCAAAGACACATTTATATAATTTCAGTCTATGATTCATTTCACAAAATTTGTCGTAACCTTGTGTCATGTTCTTTCTGTTGTCCTTCCAGACACGGAAATATCATCCAGCAAACATGCCACGCCATCCATTTCTGACAGTGCTGCATGGCATTACTCTTTAAAAAATGCCTGTTGGTGTTTACTCTCAAAGCTAGCCTGTTCATCCTCATAAAGGCGGAATTAATGTCATCTGCATAGCTGTATCATGATCAATCCTCAATTGCATAAAGGCTTGTTTAAATTCCAATTTACTAAAGATTCGCCTCCTACTGAGCTTCACAAAACTTTCTGTGGCTACAGGCAAAGGGTAAACATAAATTGCCATTTTTTCTGTTGATTCATAATCTTCACAAATCTTGAGGGAACCACTGTTTTTCTTAACTATCCCTTGCGGTGTAACCCATTTGGAGTATCTAACAGTTGTTAATATTCACTCATAGATCATCCGAGTCGATTGCTCTCGTACTTGTTTTCTTAAACGGAATGGTGGTCTTGCAGTCATATATAATTATATGAAATTTCCCAGTCTGAAGGATTTCATTAAATTCTGGTTCATCAAACTGGTCTAACAGCCCAAGAATGTCTTGAAATGGGCACTCAGATGGTCCTTTTTGCAATAAAAATCATACAATCAGTGAACAAGTGTCTTTTCCACCCTGAGATAGAAATATAGATCACACTTTTTCAAGGTTGTCATTGACCACATCCAACAAACACAATAATCTTCCTTATCACACCATTTACCACATTTAGGGTTAAACTGTCCAGGAAACACAATATTTAATAAATTACATGTCATTTTTCTACTGTTAATAATTTTTTTCTCATTTGACATAATTATAGTAAAGGAAAACATTGTGAGGGATACCTGGACTTATAATTTATAATCATATGTTTGAAATAAATGATTTGGTGATTAATGCTCAGTGGTCACTTATAGTTTTTCATTTAAATAATGAAAGAATATAACAATAACTATGTTAGTCTTATTTCATTACAAAGTAGTGGAGTAGTATGTTCTTACCTGGAGGCACTTGAGGTCCAGGCTGTTGAACTACTGGTCCAGGTGGTCCATATCCCGGCTGTGGGTGTGGGTAGCCTGGTTGAGGATGAGGGTATCCTGGTTGAAAACCAGGTTGAAATCCAGGTTGGAACCCAGGCTGCATTCCAGGTAGCGGTTGGGCTCCAGGTGGAAGTTGAGGCCCAGGGGGCGGAGGGCCAGGGTATCCAACTTGTGGATTTAAGGGATAACTCTCTTTACCGTCAGGAGGTGGAGCATATCCTTGTGACGGAGGGAAATTCGGGGAATAAGGCGTTGGTTTGTGTGACATATTTATCTATAAACAAAAAAAAAACATTAATTAAAACTTATGCTTTCATATTTAATTTTATTTCAACGGTTCCGTTATAATTACCGTCTGTAATTCTTGTTAGCGCCCCTAATGACCTTTTTAATCAACTAATATTAGTTGTCGCGAATGATTTCGGCCGGCCTAGCCGCGCCTATCATGAACCAGTGAATACTGTAAATGAAAAGCTATTCATATAATACTAGTCTAAATTAAGCTCGATGAAGCGAAACTGAAAATAGTAGCCAATAGAATAGTAAAGTTATAAAGCAAACGCTATTAGCATTTTTTGTTAAAAATGTCTCACGTCTGCAATAATAATAAGTGAATTTGTTGAAATTTAATACAAGTTTTAACTGAACAGAATAAGTACGAAGTTAGAATTATACCAATTAAAAATAAACAATAGTTTGGACTTACTTTGGATGATTAAAATCAGGATAAATTGTTTATTTTTCGGCTTGGTTTGTCACAATTTTGCGACCGACAGACCGATCCTATGGGATGGCCATAGACATTCACAAGGCTGTTATAAATACTTTTTGTGTGACAAAAAAATAATAACCAACTGCTTTTCATATATCTTCATGTTTAAGCTTAGAATTATAGAAAATCCTTTGTTTCATGTGAAATAAAATATTTAGTCGAATTAAGTTTGTTTGAAATTATTCACATTCATCTCTTTTAAATACAATTGTCTATTACATTTTATTTAACGTTTTCGAACGAAATTCAAGTTAGGCAACCTAACTTTAGAAAAATCAGTATCCGGTAGAATGTGGTCATACTTAGAAATAATTAAGAATTAGCAGAAAATTTCGAAAAGCGGTTCTTATTTCAATTCCTGTTTCATGTTGTTGTTACAAAATAGAATACTCTTGCAGCAAATAAGAAATTTTTGCCTTTCATCTAACATTTTAATAGATTTTTTTAATTTGCATGTATATTAATCAACTTCTTGAAACATTCGACATGTAAGTATTTGCAGTAATTTGCACAGACAATACTAATAAACTTATAAAAACCTTTTTAATGACTTAATTAATGAAACGAGAAAATAATATACAACATAAAGCGACATCGACTATTTTTTTAACAATTGGTAGAATAATGTAATTAATAAGTTGGCAACATCAGTATCCGTTTGGTACTATTTTCCATTCACCAATCAAACCATTGCAATAAGGTGCATTGACCAACCTGCTGCTGCTGCTGAATCTAGCCAGCAGTGAACAAGTCAGTTGGTAGATGTTTGCTTCCGCGTTTGTATCTTTGAAGTAACTACCATCGCGATGCAGTTGAAGTTGTTTTGCCACTCGTCTAACTAAAATGGCGTCGCTGTTTATCAATTAGCTTGCTCTATGTGTACATTACTCAGTGATCGTATCCGAGTGAGTCATAAACCAACATAGCAATGACATTTTTATAGCACATAGTGAGAATACGTTTCTAAAACGTTGTGTGTAGACTGGCAAGTGTGATTTGAGGAACATAATAATGCGCGAATTCAAAGTGGTCGTGTTGGGCTCGGGTGGGGTCGGAAAAAGTGCTTTGACTGTGCAGTTCGTGTCAGGATGTTTTATGGAGAAATATGACCCCACAATAGAAGACTTCTATAGGAAAGAAATAGAAGTGGACAATTCACCATGTGTTTTAGAAATATTGGATACGGCCGGCACAGAACAATTCGCTTCAATGCGAGACCTGTACATAAAAAACGGACAAGGATTCGTCGTAGTATATTCACTAACGAATCACCAAACGTTTCAAGACATCAAACCAATGAAGGAATTGATAACTCGCGTGAAAGGATCTGAGCGCGTGCCTATTCTGTTGGTGGGTAACAAAGCCGACTTGGAGCACCAGCGCGAGGTGTCGAATGCAGAGGGCTCGGCGCTGGCGCAAATGTGGGGCTGCCCCTTTGTGGAAGCCTCCGCCAAGAGCCGCACCAACGTTAACGAGATGTTTGCCGAAATTGTGCGTGAAATGAACGTTAGCCCTGAAAAAGAAAAGAAAACTTATTGTTGTTGTACAGTGCTTTAATATTTAGAGTGTAATGTGGCATTTATTTCTCGTAAGACTGCAAAAGCGGGGCAGGATTGTGCCTGTCTTCGCTCGACGGCCGATCGCCTCCAGTGGGGAGCTCGGCGACGGCGCGCCGGCCCCGGCCGCTGGGGCTCCGGCGGTCGCGATGCGCGTCATATCACATTGTTAATATCGTTGATACATACCATTGTCCAATCAAGGTGCTTTACTTATATTTTCATACTTTATTACTGGTAGATACTCCCGCAAAATGGTTAATGTGAACAAAAATCCTTATTGGAAGCATAAATAGCTATTCAGATGCAAATAAAACAAAGCTTGATTTTGTTCATGATGATATTTTGCAGACACTAGCAACAACCGTGTCTGTACCAGAAACATGTATTGTAAAGTAATATTAGTCAACTTTGTATATATTATAATTTCATGAGATTAATGATGTTGAAGGGCAAGGACAATTTAGAAAATTAAAAAGCCATCCAATATGCAATAAACTAATGATTGTGTAGAGTGGTGTGCGAGAATGAGTAAGAACTTACACCTAAGTGATGTCGCAGATTATATTTTATTGTGTAAATTATGTTTATATGAAAATCAGTAATCAAGGAAAGCAGTATGTTTTGTCAGTTGCGTGATTGTGTTTTAAAGTCTACCAGGATTTGTGATAATACATATAACAAAATACCTATAATAAAAGTTTTAAGTGGGAGATTGAAAAGTGAAGTTTTATTCTTCAGTAAACAAGGTAACCAATCCATTTTGATATTACACAATTTACATAATATATTTTAGTACAAACAGTGAAATAACACTTGTATTTACATTCTAGAGACAACTTACAAACATAAGTTTATGCAATTCTATTATAATCAAATTGTTCTTTTTATGTGGTTTAACTAAATGTTGTCTGGTAGCATTTTGTATACTAGGAATACTATTTATAATAATAATAATTATACCAATAAAATTTGTGATATGAATAGAATGCGAATAAATTACGATTGCATTTCAATTTAGTCATTTAATGTACTTACATTATTTAATTTTTATCTATTGAAACAGATTTTTAGTAGCCTTTCTCTTTAAAGTAATTTTCTCTATAAATTAATTTTATGTTGATAGTACTGGACAATTATAGGCAATTAATCGCCCAGTGCATACCAAGTGAGCACTCAACTGTGCTGATCATATCATCTATAACATGGATTGAATTGCATAGTGTGTGCAAACTTGTATGACATTGTTGCTGATTGAATGTGTACTATCACATTAATAGATTTCAAGTACATGAACTATTATGCATTTTGAAATGGTTGTGTTCTTGCATCATTTTGGTTTAGCTAGCTTTAGCTTTTTTTCATGATTTGTAAGCAACAAGTCAGAATTATGCTTTATTGTTTACAACAGGCCCTATGGAAGCTAGCTTTCTGAAAGCAATTTGATAATCTAGTGCACTTGGCGGTAATTGCATTATTTTGTTGGAATATTGTTGCATTAAAACACGACGGATTCTTGTGGCAATCGCCAAGTGGCACGGGTAAACGACGGCTCTTGGCGCGTGCTGTAAACGGTAACCAGCTGTTGGACCGTGACGTACGGTGAGCGCAACCATCCTCGTTTCTGCAATACTCATCTACTTTGTTATTGCCTTAATATTTACGCTTAATTAATTATTTCCACGAAGGTAGGTAATATGCTTATAAAAGATGTAGGACTGATAACAATAAAATATGGTCATGATAGGCATATAGTTGGTACGTTGCTATACTTGCATACTACGTACGTTTAACCAACAGTCTCTCAGATGTTTTTATTTTGCTAGGAAAATTAAGTAACAAAAGTTAAAAGTTCACTTAAATACAGTGACATTTATGCAGAAGTTTTGATTGATAAAAAACGTGATGTGAAGTTGACGAAACGAAAATATGATACTACTTATTCATTCGAATGAAAATTGTGCAATTCAAATTCGGAAATAAAATTAATTCCTTAGCCTATGTAGTCCGCCACAATCTGTAGCTCAAGTGGCACGTTATCGAGTTTAAGGCCATGCTTCGATTACTTTAGTCTTTTCGGGCACTACCACTGCTAATGTGCCGTTACTGGCCCAGATAGAAACTAATTCGCCCGGACGTTGACGGGAGGGTGTTGTAATATGTTTACTTCCTTGTGCATCGATTAGTTATAAGCCACTGAGTGTATCTCCATCTCGATTGATGGTTAGTTCCAGTACAAGGCTTGAATTTTTGTGAATTGTTGGCACTGAACAGGTTCAATAAATGTACTGAAACAAATTATCCTTGATGGCAGGACTTGTACTGATTCATTGTTTTGTTTCTTCAATTAAATAAGACTTAATACAATTTTCATTTCAAGCAAAGCCTACGGCTTTGCGGATGGATAGTCGTACTAAATTTTTAAATTATCATTTAATGCGTTGGACGTTTCGTCTATTACTCTGATGCTCTATGCAGATCTCATTATGGAGTGAGTTTGTAATGTTTGTAGAAAAGGTGGATCAATTTGCGCAGTTACTGGATTTTTATGATACTGCATCTTCATCGTCGTCACGTATACGTGCCGCAAGTAATTGATGCCCTGAGAAGATGCGTCCTGGGTGCTTCTATAACCGTTTAATGACTCCTTGCTGGTGTCTCAGCCTTTGTTACGCCTTATACAATTTGAAATACGTATACAATTTGTTTAAACATCTTATTTATTGTTACATTGCTAAATTGCATCTTGTATACATTTGGGAAACTAGAATCATGTTTTTACAACACAAATTAAATCAAGCAAGCCCGAAACTCCTAGCTTTGAGCTAGGAATACAAGCCAGTAAGACTTACTGAATTAATTATAGATCTGACCTGGCTACGAAAATGGCACTTATTCAATGTGGGTTTTCCCTTATCGTGGGTAATTCTTTTAATTTTATTGTCCTCTTATTTCCTCCTAAAAACTCAATTAAAAGTATCATCTCTATTGGGTTATTCATAGTATGAGTGGTGCAGGAACTGCTAGCTGAGTATTCATACGATTTAAGTTACAATGCCAGACGAGTAGCAAGTGCCGCGGGGCGCTGCGTTATTGATTGCATTACACAAAGGGAAATACACATAGTTTCCCCTCGCCTCGTCTAGCTTTAATAACATTACAGCTGAACGTAAAAATATCTAGTATTTGTGTAATCAATCCTTGATTGTCTTTTTCTAGCTACATTGATGCCAGTCCAGACACAGCACTTTTTATTTTGGAATCCAAGTCCAAATGACCACTTGTATGTTTAGAATGGCTTCTTAAATCGAATATTTCATTGAAAGAATCATTATCAAATTGCAGTGCCAAGGAATTTATAGACAAGCATCCAATGGTACAGGTAGAAGGCACCTCTAGATTCAGGTATAAAATAGAAAGAATTAATTCGACGAACATAGATTGGCCGTTAATCGCGACGAAGTTTTTAAAGGGATCTGTCGGGGGACGTTGCTCTATACCTATGGGTTCCTAATAATGAATTGCATTTGAGTTTTGGCTTGTGTTTTCATTTAGTGTAATCAAGACACTGACAGACTGTTGTTAAAATTCGTTATTCTTATAACTTTTGTTAAAATTATAACTCCAGTAATTATGATTTAGCTTAGCTTCCTAATAAAGACTACATAATATGACTTAAATGAAACGTTCAATATACCTATACATACATACCATGTACCGATTGAATGAAGACAAAGGTGAACTTTCCATAAATCGATTATTTAACATTCTTCTTAGGCACCTACTATTTATGTTGGGAACCGGGTAAAATACAGTGTGGAAGTTTTAAATCGAAAATCATCATATGGGGCCTACATACAACTACGTTACACGCTGCAAATAACATTTTCAAACTACTTTAGTAGCGCGCTGGAAGTAGCCCGATGTACATTGTTCAGTGTAAATAAGAAGTAAGTATTGGTAAGTATTTTATTATAAACTCATATCAAAGGATTATGCTTTGTGACTTGAAAATATTTTCGAGGAGCATGCAAGGTCTTGCCTGGAATAGATGCGTCTCAGCGAGTCTCCCGCGCACCTCGCGCGTCGCTGCTGCGTGTGGGGCGTCTATAAATACCCTTCATAACATACGCTACGTCCGTTCAATAAAAATTATACATATTGTTGAGTAATATAACTCAAGTGCTGCAAATATAATAAAGGTAGTTCCTACCCTTCCATTCCTGCTACACAAAACAAATCCCCTTGAATTCTGTTACACTACTTACCAGAATATTGTTAACATTAGCACAGAACAGAATGCAGTTTCAAATAATGAAACCGTTGTTTACTTATACAGTTCGTACTTACAAACGACAGAATGGTGTTCTCCACTGTTCTCATGACTCGAACGTTCTCATGGAAACAATCAATGCGGGTGCGGAGGTATTATTACATTGAATGCTTTTAATATCAAATATGTGCTTTCATGTCATGATTGGAATTTATAGTCTGCGTAGTACTTGTTTTTTTACAACACCGTTAGGAATGACTTTGTTTTTATATGATAAAGATTTGTTTGTGTATTGTCTAGGTATCCCGGAGGTTAAGGCCTCTTGTGCTTCCTCTTGAACCTCACAGTGCGTGTACGAAACCTGGCAAGTACTAATATAACTTGATGAACCTACTTTCTAAGATTAGTAAGACAGCATACTGCGAGGGAAAATATTGTAGCGAGGAAACCTGGACTATGAAATTGATAATCCACCATGAGCAAGCGTGGTGCTTAACGCTCAATCTTTATCCCTCCGAGAAGATCCTTTGCTGAGCAGCGGGCATCTACCTGGCTCATGATGATAATGATAAAAATCACCTAAATACTTATTAGATAGGTACACAAGTTCCAGCGAAGAGACATTCTACGTGTACAAATTGTGCAACATGCGTAGGTAGGAACTACCTTGACTGAGCTCCTAACATGGTTTGACTTGTGCTGTTATGCAGGCAGGCCGCTCGCAGACTCTATGGCGCAAGTTGCGTCATTAGTTAACCTCAATGGATTACAATTTAAATTTAACATTAAGACAAATTGGTATTGGTCGTTAGAACGGTCGATGACAGTGTAGGACTACCTAAATATAGGCATTACAAGTTCAAATTAATATTACGTGATTATATTATATTAATTTAAAGTTGTGGTGTAATTGGTTATAGGCATCTAAAAATATAAGTATTTATCTAAACACATTTTAAAAAGTATCTCACTTAGGTACTTCATACTATTTTATTAAAAGAGTATACAGGTACCTATTGGTATTAAAGATTACGCTCCAATGACCACGTAGTCCTTGGCAAGTTGTGCAAACGCACCTTGACAGGCATTTCTTGCACCCAACATGGCCAGCTGGCCCGCTCGTTCAATAGGCATGACATTCCACTGCCATAATCTATACAAAACGATGACATCTACATGGCTAACTACGATTTCACCACCCACGTTACATTCTTTGTTATTTGCAGATTTCGACTTGTTCAAACCCAGCAAGTTATCTAGTTGTTAGGAACATGGGTTAGGTGCCTATGGATTTTCTTATGTTTACCAACCCCACATGTTTATAGAACCCTCGTATTCGAGAGAAATTCTCCACAAGAAAAATAGGTAGATAATTTACCTACATTTCAAGCATAAATAACAATACTTCGATTCGAAGTAGTTTCCAAAGTAAAATGGAAGAATGCTCATTTTACAGTTCCTTGATTTATGCCGCCATTCTGACCGGTACGTAAGATAGTTTGTAAAGATTGATAGACTGATATAATATGTATTTTATGTCATAGTTAATAAGATGTACTTTAGTGTAAAAGATGAAGGATGCACGACACGTGTTTCGTGAACAGCTTCCGAGACATCGTCACAATAACAAAGTGAGAGACGTTCATTGTTTGGCCGCCCTCTGCCTAAAATGTAACCACGTGTTGAACAGGTTTTAATATCCCTTCACAACTTCCGCTAACATTGCGTCCTTTGACTTTTCTGTCCGTAACGTTATCCGTTAAAATTACATCAGTGTTATCGTAATGGCTTCTTAGTAAATTAACTAATGGAAGTGCTTTGTTATCTAACTCAAAAGAGTTTGTCGAGTCTTAATAACTATTCTAATAGCAATCCTTAGCTCTTTAAAAATCCTCCAGCGAGACTTGTCATTGGAGCGTTTAAAGTTTTCCTGTTTAAGAACAAAACAAATATAGGTAATTGAATCAGTACCTACGCGAGGAATTATTGCAATCAATTTAAATGACTATGTTGTACGTATATATTTATAATACAGAATTTCCGATTTCATTATTAATCGGTTAAACCTGTCTACAATTTGTTTTATGTTCGTCTGTTATGAAAAAAATTTAAGGATATGAGATATTTAAATTCATTTTATGGACGAGAGTGTTTAGTTTGTGTTCCCGACATATCTACCTAAACATAATAAATATTATTCTTGCATAATCATACGTCACATAATTACTAATAATATCAGTAAGAATTAAGAAAATTGAAACTGGAGGTAGGTACTGTTAATAAATATCGTAGAAAATTTAAAAACTTATTCCATCGCTCTTTAAAACAAATTAGTGGGTCTTTTTCAAATGATTATGTGCTGCAGAATCAATACAATATCATTATCGGGGTATGCTTATTCACTTTCATCTGTAACGTTACATAAAAGGGAAGCGACTTTCATCCAGCGGCTTCCTGGGATTATAATACTGTGGATGGATCATCCTGATGCATACATATATGTGACTGGTAAAAAAAAACTAACTCATGTCTCTCCACTTCTCCATGGAAAGCGAGTGAACATAAAAGCTTCGATGACGAACATTGGTAAAGGTGTAAGCTCAATAAAGAGTTTAATATTGATCTCCATTTCTTGGCTGGTGATCTGCATAATGGATCAGAGCGCAATTTTCACATTTTCGTCACTTTGCTAATAGAGAACGACTTATAACTTCTTTGTTTATTTCATTTTGTAATTTAAGCAAATCTACTTTGATAGACTGAGACACAAATTATGGTTAATTTTTTATCTCAGGATTCGGAGGTCAGAAATGCAATACCCACTTTATGGGTCCTACTTTATGTTTGGACTACATGCATGCTTTTAAGGATATTCTTAATAACATGTATGTACGAGTATATAGTCGAAACATCCAATACTTATAGATTACCTACCCAGTAACCGCGGACAAGATCAACCACAAGACAATAAAATAATCACCGTACATTTTATATCATCAGAAAACTAATCCATGTCTGCAAAAGAAAAGTAGGCGCAGTGTAGTGCGTTATCTGAGTCCGCAGAAATGTACTCATCAGAAGTGAAACCATATCGAATTGAGTATCACGAGCAGGCGGTTGGTACGTGTCCAGTTATTATAAGACTTCGCGTGCGTGAATTAGTGGCACTATTGTAACATGCGATGTCGATACGACTAACTACCAAACAAGCCCGAACCAATGCAATGTTGTAAAAAAGTGAAACTTTGATGTCTGTCTTTGTATAAATAGTAAAAGTAAAGTCTTCGATGACAGTTTCTCGGGTAATTTGACACTAGTAGGTATACATACATTCTTTCTGATGTATAAGACTCATAAGTATAATCTGATTCAGATCACCATTAAAATTCAGAAATTGCCTTCCACACAGATTTTAGTATTTTTAATTTCTACACAACCTTCTTGTTGGCTGGTTGCGGGTACAAGGTGTCGCGGCCCCGGCTCTGACAAAGAGAAACGAGGGTTGCTTGAAGGAGTGGTAAGTAGGCTGGTTTGTTACTTGAGATTCTGATACTGCCTCTCGTCCTACCTAGTGCGGGAGAAGTGATGAAATTTTCTTAAAATGAGAAAATCCTATTATATATGGCTTTCTAAAATTTTTGCACACAAAAATTCTGCATTATATCAAACATCAAAATAATAGTTTTCTAACATTTCATTTATATAAACAGCTGCAAAAAGCTGACAAAGTATTGCAATATATTTAACCCTCCGGAATTACCCAACTAGGTACAATAAAGATGGGATTATATCTGTGAATGTAAAACCATTATGTTACCATTGCTACAACGGTCCCCAGTGGGTCAAATTTTACCTTCGTTTACACAGGACAATCTATTGTTCTTCCAATTCAATTGTGTTGAGTCATATATATACATTAACATTAGATAAGGCATCACACTGATTAGCATTTTATGTTTATTGGTTCGTTGTAATACTTACATATTAATATCTTTCTAAGTTTTTTTACATTATCATGCTTACGGTACTTTTATGCCTATTGTGCTTGTATTTTGAGATATAATACATAAACCAGGTTTTAATTAATAGAGACGTTGAATAAGTAGATTTATTGATCAGTAGATACTTGTGTACCTACACGTAACTTTGATTTATCTAAATTGTAAATAGTGCTGCCGTAATTACTTTTTAAACACTATAGTTCCTACTGACTAGCGACCGAGTTTCGTTAAAATCTATCGAGTAGTTTTTGTTTCTATAAGGAACATACAGACAGACAGACAAACGTTTACCAGATTCATTTTTGCCATCAGTATCGATCACTAATCACCCCCTGATAGTTATTTAGAAAATATATATTATGTACCTACAGAATTGACCTCTCTACAGATTTATTATAAGTACCTGAGTATAGATACAGTTTACATGGGGGAGAAAATAAACGAGATAATTGTAAGTATTTAATACCTAGATTACTTTAAAACTTTTTTCACCTTGATAGTAATGTTTCATGACGAAAAATCTTCTAAGTTCGTGCTCATCGATATTCCGGAACCGTGTTTTTTGTAATAACCTTTCTGTTTTGTTTCGAAAGTAACGAAGGGAAGTTGCAGAAATTGTTAAGCTCATTCATAAAACATGTAAAGGGACGCACGTGGCTCGAGGGTGAGGGTCGCATTGTCAGTTCCTTCCCAGTTTCTATGCCTGTTAGCAACTACAACATTATGATCATATTACATTTTTCACACTTATTCCTATCCATTCTTGGCTTCCTTTGAGAGGTATTTTATAAAACACCAAGAAAAAATAATCAAAGGCTCAGCTCCCCTACGACTCAAGACTAAGTTTCGGCATTTGGTCCTGTGCCAATTTCCTTGCAGACACCACAAAGTTCAATGTCGGCTTTAATGTACGAAGGAAATCTTTTGTTATTTTACTACGAACACATTCGTCTACTACTGTAGTGAAGGATGTTTAGGAATGATGACTTATTTTCAACACTGAAACATTTCGCAAGAATGGCCCACACTGACTGACAGACCAATGTTCTCTAGTAAGTAGCTGTTGTAACAAAGGTCATTGGGAAGTGGGACAACTGTTTTTGCTGTTCTTTATCTGCCGTCGAATCGAGCGAAAGGTATCATCACAACGCTGTTTCCCGGTGAAATCGTGTGTATTCTCACACGAGACTGGCAAAAAATCACTGGTATAGTAGCTACAAGTCGTTAATTGTATTGAAATATGCGAGGCGCGTCTCACAACCGCCCGTCATAGTCAAGAATCGGGTGTGTTTATATGGTTGAGTCACGGTTACTGCGATGGCAAATCGCCAATGCTCCCGACACTAACACGCAGTAGAGATGGAATAAACCGAGATCAATGAAAATAATCGAAGTTAAACCATGGGCTGCCCTAAATTGTTTAATTATACTCTGAAACAAACAACAGAGACCGAATAATGATACCAAGTCTCAATGTTTATTGATGCAAATATTTGAGCACTTCTTCAATTTAAACTTATTCAATTGCAAGAGGTTTTCGAAACAAAGCGTAGAGAATAACATAAACGAGGTCACCAGTTGTGGTAAGTGGAACTGTAGAATACGTTTTCGGCCATAACGTTGATGTTTAATCTCAACCATCTTTATTATTTTGGATGAATTAGGCATCAGAGCTAGCCGTAATGATGTCCCCGGCGATGGCTCAATAGAAAGTGAACGTGGGAGCAGCACTGGTTGGGTGAAGCTGCGCAGTGGGGCGCGGGCGCACAGAGCCGCAGGCTGGTGCTAATACATGTGACGTGACGTCACGGCCCCTTCTCGTCTCGTTGCCCCCGCAATCATCAATATCTCTGATATAACCTTCATTGATGATTGATGAATCACGCCGTTCAACTACCCTATTTTTATAAGATTACGGAAGACTTTGATATCTACGTATTTGCAGTTAGTTGCGCACTGTCATACATATTGCCTCACTTTACTAACGTAAGTTTATTTTATTTATATTCATATCAGCTGTTCTTTAATGATGTGTTTATGTTGAGCCAACAAATACAACTTTATCGTTTTAATCATAGGCAACAAAGTTATAAAGCCAATATAACTAATTGTGTATAATCTTGCCAATAGCTGTTGTTAAATGGCAGTTTTTGTTTTTGTTTCTTACTTGAACATCGATGACGGTCGAGAAAACATTAGGTGCACACGGAAGTACGGTAATTTGGATCACAATTGTAATTAATTTCAAAGCGGGCAGAGATAAATTGTCACGATGCATTACGGGATGGGAGAGTCACGGCCAAAGTCGCCATTACATGTATTTGGCTTAGCATATATTTAGCTATCAATATCATGCATTTGTTCTACTAAAAAGTAAATACGCACATAGTACATTATATATAACAGTAATCATAGGTGCAGGTGTCACATTTGTTTATACTCTCTTGATGATTCAGAAGTCGTCAAAATTCGCGATGATTAATGGTTTTATTTGATAAATAAACGAGTGTTCATGACATCCGTTAGACACAGTGGGTAATATAATTTCATACTGTAATCAGCATCACCATTACTTATTTCGAAGGTTACGCAGATGATATTAATTTTAGGGGTCATTGAAACGGTCGTATCATACTCGTAGAGCTGTATTTTCTGTATAGGTATTACTATTTTCCATTTTCTATTATTTTATTGTTTGCTTCTCATTTTTCATATTTTGGTACTTACCATTCCTGTCATAGGTACCTCAGTATTCATTTAACGAAACTGTGATAGCCTACAACAGCAATTTTAAGTCATATTCATCTTTGAGTCGATGGCAATTATCATTTGGCTATCACATGCGGGCTCTGAGTGCGAATGTGGGCTAGTTGTACTTCGATCAGACAAAATAAAATTAATTTTGACTCTCCCTATATCTCTCTATATCTTTATCCTGTTTAACTACAAATATTTCAATGTTATCGATATCTGTATGATATCAATTCCAAACACGAATCAAAGGATCAAAACTCACATTAATGTCTAGCAAACAGCATTATAATTAGATGATAATTAAATTCCATCTGGCTGCACATAATGACGTCTACCTGCGTTCCGTTGTTATTGTGTTTGCGGTAATTAATGAAACCTATTGGCATCAGCCCGTTCTTTGTTTCAATGTCACGGACTGACGGTAAAAACGGTGCGGATGCAGTTCTCGCAGCTACTGTGAAGGCAAGGTGAGGTGTAAAAGTACTTTAACATTCAACAATTTACGTAAGTAAAGGTCCGCTTATCACAGCGTCGACGTGACGCCACGTAGAAAGCGATTTCAAGAACGTTGACGCAATACTTGAACGAAATGGTTCCATTTGATTAACAAAAATAATATTATTGGAAACTGTTAGTGTTCTGTGTGACTGTTGCGTTTGACCACATAGGTATATTTGGCAAATTTTATCTGCAACAAGCACGTTCTCCTACATTTTTATGCTAAAAATTTTACTAGGCAGCAATACGCAGTGCACAAAACAATAGAGCGTGAGAAATCAGTAATTGGTTTTCACCCAATTAACTGCGGTATTAAATGACCTTTCGTCTCAATATTTCAACCGTTGATTTCCAATTAATTCTACGAATAATTAAATTGTTATCGAGTGTGCTAATTTGTGGACGAGATTCGACTGACATTGTTGTGAAATTAAATAAAAGTCATCGAGCATGTAATTACAAAATTGGAGATAATTTCGAGGTGTTAATTTACGTTACAAGTTTAATGATGATGGTGATGTACTTTAATAAACACTATCAAACTCTTTTTTATAGTGTGGTAGATATATCAGTTGGCTATATCAATGATATTGAAACTAGGTACTTACAACTCGGTCATTGCGTTGAGCTACCTAAAAATTGATTAACATCCACTTCGCACCCAGTAAACAAAGAAGTATATTTTATCAAATAAGTACATACATACTTAGTGCGGTCTGTTTTACACAGAGGATTACGGAGCTACAAGTGCAGCTTACAGTTGCCGCACGTCACAACATTTAATAGTAAACGAGATACGAGCCGACCCGACCCATCACTTGTATTCCGGCTCTTAACGCACCGCTACGTTATCTGTATCCACCATAATTGTTGTGTGAGCGAGAGAACAGCTCACCATGTAAGTAAACAGGGTTGCGAGTAAAAAAGAACGCATACGACCACACGAGAGTTATTTATGAAATAATTTATAATGACTTCTATTCGCATGATCTGATTGTACTCGTATCTTTGTTTATTTAACAATGACCTCTATTTCGGCCACCATGATGGTTATCTGATGGTAGCCCTACAGAGCTCCATAGAGGCACAGGCCACGCGTTATACGGGCGGGTGTCGTCGTACTCGCTCGAGCTATGGAGAGCTTGCTTGTATGCATGTGACTCATTTTGCGCTGATTGGCTCATCCGGTTCTCTGTAGACATTTTAACTCTTTTAACTAGACATGTGTGTTTTATTTTTTAGCCTACAGTTGTGTGGTCGATGTAATAATTTGAAAAGTAATTTAACTTGTGATTCATCAGAAAATTGTTAAATTAACCGTTGACGGCCTGTGTAATTAGAGACTTAAGATTTTGCTCGCATTAAATTAATTTGAACAAGGTTGGTTGGTGTGTGTTAACAATTAGAGTCGTTTGAAGGGCACAGTGATCCGTGATGGCGCATGGCGTGCGCGCGGCCATCTCAAGTTGCGGCTGCGGGCGCGCTAACTGCTCCTCTTATTTATTTTTATGTTTTTTGTCGTACACATCCCTACTAAGTGCAAACGCAAATGGTTCTCATCTCGTTCACAAAGATGTTTTTATACACTTGACTGGCTATTTATTGAAGTATCATTATTCTGCGCTTCTGGGAAAAGTCATAAAAGAAACAAGTCAACGAAGTCCACAGATGTCACAGAACCGTGGCAGCATTGGTGGCTGGTACCAGTGAAATGATTTAGTTCTTCTGTTAATTGTATCAACTACATAATGATTAGCTACTTCGTGTTTATCACAATGTATTAGTACCTACTTACTTATTATTACCTCTTATCATTATACCAAGTAGGTGCTTACTGGTCACCTCATTTTAAGTAATCAATTGATGACGTTGTTTGCAACTACTAAGTAAATATCTGCAATTTGTTATAAATTAAAAATACAAACTAAGCCGTAAAAGATTTCTTGATAGCAATACGATGTGCTATTTACATTCCAGTAAATGTACCTACAAACATAAACGATATCGGATATCGTTTGCGTAATTTGACAGATTGTAGAGTTATTTTTATGGGAGATTACACTACAAGGAGGAGGCGTCGGTATCTCGGGTTGCTATTAAATCTTGCGGTAGGGTCTCAGGTAGCTGCAGATTGAATAAGAAAGTGCGGCGTAGGTGTATTTCGCCGATCTGGCTACGTGTTTGGATCAGTAAGGTGAGTGGTTGACCCGCAGTTGCTCGGAGCACCCTGCAGTCAAACCAGTTGGCCTGGGAGGCCGGCCGGCCGCGGGGAGCCCCTGCTCGCTCCACATACAAACTAAACAATAAACACTGCAATCACTGTCTCTCCTCATTCTTCACTGTTTATCTCTTTTTGAACCGGTACTTTATTTTGAATCTAATCTACTATCCAGCTTTGATTGCCAAAATTAGATAAGATTTCATTTTTTCAATATTCTTCTTTTGCGAATTTGTACAAAAATACTGCAAGGAAACTTAAGTTATGTAATTCGGATAGTCGATAGTTAGTTCAATCAAGACGACTTAGATATAATTGAGATTTTCTGTATCTTTATTTTTGTGTATATGTGTGTATAAGTAGTATGGATAGTAATAAAGTATTTCTAAATAACAGATATTGATATTCTAACTAGCAAAAAATGCTGGTAGTAAAAATTATCTGATTGGTCATTGTTAAAGATAAAATATGCACGTCCATAGTTTACAGACAGATTTATTCCATTGTCAGTTGTACTTATCTGCAATAATAATATGTTGATAATAAAAACATCTCCCTCATCTTACAAAAAGTATTTATACGTAACTAATACAATAGTAGGTACCTAATACAAATGATTTACGACTAAATTAAGTACCTACAATACAATAGGTTTAAAAGTAAAAATAGTTTTTGATTGTTATCATTATTTAATAAGGTAGCCTATCAGTGTAGGGACTTACACCTTTGTACCTCGGTGTATAGGTAGGTAGGTAGGTAGATATTGTATATGTATAAATGAAATTGGCAGTTAAAATCGTGCGCCAGAAATAGTTGTCTCTCAACTCCGGATTCGCCCTTCATTGGACTGGAATTTGCTGATAAACAGATAAAGGAGTATATTGACTGCCTATAAATAGATCATCAATATCTTCCAGGTCGCTTTCAAGTAATCCAATTGAAGCAGTAATATTTTAATGGCATATTTTTATAAGTCAAGTTTTAAATTCAACATTATGTGGGAAGTTTTAAAGCGCATTTTAGTGAAAACGCGTTTTGAGAAGAAATTTAAAGGAATCAAATAGTGTGGTCTAAGCACATTACTTGGCATTTGCAAGAGAAAACTGATTGGTCGATTCTCAAAAAGAAATAAATAAAAAATTGAAAGTGCAAAAGTATCGTCGGATAAGAACAAGATTGATTTGTTTAAACTCGAATCCTAAGTAAATATTAGTTCTGCAGACATAACATACACACAGACAGTATGCTACACGTCACGTGAACTTATAAAAGTGACATTAGCAATTTATGGATCTAAGTATAAGGAGGAACACAAGTTTATCTCGTACATTTTCCGTTTTATCTCAATAGATTCATGGAAACCTATTTACAGAGCAACCGATAAAGCGTTAACGGCTGATTATTTCTTATCTGTTTAGGACATGTTGTCCAGACGATAGTTAGTCAATTTCCTAGTCAACATTTCAATGTCCACAACTTCCCAGATAAGTACGATTGATGGAGCCGCCTCGTTACACTATTTATATTCTGCGTATCAGCCTGTGCCGTGTACCACTAGGCACTACTAGGTACCTAAATGACATGTATGATTTTCTCAGTTAATTAAAGATATTATCTGCGTGGTCCGTTAGTGTCGCCCTGGGTCTGGTTGGGGTAGAGGCGAGCGGGCGAGCAATTATCCTGGAGCGGGTCGGTGCGCCTGCGCTCGCGCAGCTCGGCCGCGGCCGTCCGCGTCGCGCACGCAGCCGCATGATGCACGACACGAATAATAAACCAAGCCACTTCCTGCCCAGCGATAAGCGCTTCGTACATACATCACATCACATCACACAATACTACGCACGCACACTGTCACAACACACTCATATACATACTATTATGGCAACCTAACTACATACATTAGCAGTGACAAATATATAGCTATGTTATATCTGTACGTGTTTTATGTTCTTTGTATTCAACACATTATTGCTTTGTTCACTACATTTAAAACATTCTTCATACACACAAATAGCTGCGCATTATGTCTTTATAACGTCAAACAGGCATACAATGTAGTCAGTATTACTTAACAGTACGTTAAATAAAAATATGGAAAAAATAATTGAAAATAAATCGTCCTAAACTGGGCACTACGTATCCTGTCTTTATGATGAATCTACATATTTCAATGCAAATTGTTCGGGTAGAATATTACCTTCAAAGTCATACCAAGTAAAGGAATAGGCAACAAAAACCTAATCATTAATTCTTTCTTATTATTAGTTATTATCGAGGAATATGAATTTACATAATCAGATAAAAAGCTGCAAGCGTTACTAGGTATTTAGATAATTTCAAAGATATTTTACACTTCACAATGTGTGACTATAATTAATTATAAGCGCGAACCTACTCCTTCTCAATAGCATACTTACTATAAAAGTAGGTTAAATGGTTTTATTTAGCCAACGACTGGCTTCGACTACAGAACGACAATACGAAGATGATTTGCTTGACCTTTAATAACTTCCTTGAGAATATAATTCAAATATACCCACATACATCGACGATAATATTAAACCAAACACATGAACCACTTATACTAACGATATATCTAACGTTAACTTCTTTAAAATTCTTCACAGGGGTCATTTTGCAAGCACAGTGATGATTAATCGCATTACAATTAAATTTGAAAAGAACTAGGTCATAAGATGGATCACTGGGTTTCATATGAGTCATTTAACAGACATTCTGCATTTAAGTATTTAAATTTTTATTACGAGAGGCGACTGATATTGCCAATAATGAAATGGCAGAAGAGGAAACAACGATTAGATAACAGACATGACTCAGTTTAGCTAGAAGCCAATGTTTACGTAGTATCTGCATATTTCTGTATTATACGGATGTGGTTGTAGTCGGTAGAAACCCCACACCTCGATTCTAATCACTCAATGGAATTCCAAACAAGAATATAACGAAATAAACCTTATTCTTATTGCCTATGATACAAAAAAAAACACGTTGAAACGTGTTCTTGTGCTTAGGTTTGCTACTTATATCGAAAAATCGCCCTAGTACAATAATAATGAAAATACAGGGATAACAGTAAGTACTTAAAATATGTAGATATCTAAAGGATAACGGCAAATCCCCTAGTTCGTGAGGGTCTCCGCCAAAATTCTCATCTCGAAGGCAAGTTTCTTGAATACTAAGTAGTCACGAGATGTTGCCAACTTGTAACTGCGTTGACTTGATCAGATTGGAATTGATGGGCGAATGATTACTGAGCTCTAACACGCGTATTATCTCGTTCATGATGCATGATTCAATGGGAAACAGATTGAATGACGTGGAAGTCTCGAATACGGAATCTCATGGTTGAAATGTTAATCATGTAAACACTCTACACCTGTTTTTGACCGTTTACGTTCGGTTCCATAATGACGTCACATCTGTGATTATCTTGTCAAGAAAAATAAAATGCCCTTTAAATGCTTCTACATTGTTAAAAGAGCAGTTATTATATTCTAGTTTGTTGCACTAGAACATTCCGGTAGCCGAAACAACGATTGATTCTAATTGTTATTGCTGTTGCGTTTAGACTTTACTTACTCGTCCGGGTAATTATTAACTTTTATCATTAGAAAGTGACGATGGTCTTTGACTTTTGTTGTTCCAGCGATAAATCGGTGCTTAATCACCCTGTGTATTTACCTTGGAAGTCCAGCGGCTCCAGCGTCATTATGGTTGAGTCATAGCTTGTCATTTGTGCACTTCACTGAATAAATAAATGACATACTTCTCGGAAGGGTCACCTTGTTGACGTCGGCATTTACTACCTCTTACTATAGTCATTGATTGGGGGACATTTTTACGCTCTTTATTACGGCTAAGCTGGAATGACCCAATATTATTGTTTCTTTCTTGCCGTGAACAAACATGTTTAAAGAAATACCACGTCCAGTAATGTTAATGTTTTGTTGACTCGTGTAGCGA